TTAAAAATCTTCTACTCAAGAACAGCAAAGCCATGATTGGTCATATTTACATGGAAGCATCCTCAGATAATGTAGATTCAAATTTGTTCAATTCCTGACACCCCCCCCCCCCCAATCACTTTTATATTTAAACTTTTCAACCTTTCAAGATTGAAGTGATTTCTGCTTTTTCCTAGCCATAGTGCTCAGGTGAGCGATGTGGCCCCTGGGCCTCTTGTTGGAGACCAGGTCTTCCAACAATCTATTGGAATTCCCATGGGTACCAATTGCGTCCCGTTATTAGCAGACCTATTTTTGTATTTATATGAAGCAGAATTTGTAAAAAATCTTTTACGTGAAAAGAATAAAAAAAAAAACACTTGCTGTGGCCTTCAACTCGACATTTAGATATATCGACAACGTATCGTCAATTAACAATGGTTATTTCCATTCTTATGTCGACACGCTATATCCCGGTGAGCTCGAAATAAAAGACACCATAGAGTCTGACACATCTGTTTCATATTTGGATATTTTATTAGAAAAAGAAGTTAATGGTAATCTAACAACAAAGCTTTATGATAAACGTGATGACTTTTACTTTTCAATTCCCTTACCTATGCAGCAATATACCCTTATCACCTGCATACGGAGTTTATATCTCTCGGTTGATTCGATACGCAAGAACATGCTCTACGTATGAACAATTTCTAAAACGAGGTAAGTTATTGACAAACAAGTTGACGAAACAAGAATATCAGCAGTTTCGTAAGTTCTATGGTCGAAACAATGACCTTGTCAGCAAATACAATCTATCATTAAGTCAAATGCTGACTGACTATTTTCATACTAATTGTTAGGCCATTATTTACACACTGAATTATGGACGGATTTTTCCGTTATTTCCCGATCATGACAAGGAGAACACAGCGGGTGTGACAGGTCGGCAGGGAATGCTCACTCCTCCATGGCACCTGATCCCACCTCTGATGTCTTAGAGGTCCGTGTTTGCTCTGCTCTTATTTTGTAATGTTTAATGGACTTTTGAGCTCGAATACTGTTCGTTATCTCCACATATTTCATTCAACAACCTGTTTGAATTCTGGTGGGCACAAATTGTACTCTATCATTAGCTGACCTGTTTTTTAAATTAAAAAACTTCTACATGAGAAGAAAACTCTTGATGTTACATTCATTGATATTTAGTTTTATCAACTAACAGTAATCATTTTCATTCGTATATCGACTCGATCTTTCTAAGAGAACTCGAAGACACCACAGAGTCTACCACATATGTTTCATATTTGGATAGTTTTAATAACTATAGATATTATTGGGAAATAACTATATGACAAAGGGGATGACTTCAGCTCATTGTCAGCTTCACGTATTTTTGTAATAATATTCCTATCACCTGCATATGGTGTTTTGTCTTCAAACTTATTCTGTTCGCAAAAGCATGTTTTAGTATGATCATTTTTTAAATCGATGCAGCGTAATAAGTTGATGTTACAAGGCTTTCAATATTCTCGATAACGTCATTATTTCGTAAGTTATTTGGACTTTGTAATGACCTTATTTGCAAAAATGATATGTTTCTTACCAATTGTTTGGTAATTGTTTTTATGCTAATTTTGACAACCGATTTCTCCGCTTCTCTGATCAAAACAATGGGCTAACAGCAGTTGTGACTGTTCAACTGGGATGCCCACTCTTTCCAGGTTCTAAATCTAACCTCTGGTGTTTCCAGGGGTCTGTATTTTTATCTTTCATGATTCGTGATTTGATGGAATTTATGACATCGATCACTGTTACTCTTGTGTAGTACTTTACCATCTAGTGCTTACAATTAAAACGAGAGGACTGCGACGTTTTAATACCCGAGTCACTTTTAAAGATATTATTGCTATCTGTTATTCGCCGTTATCCGTCGTACGGTACTTTCAACTTTTTACATTTTCAATTTCTCCAAAGTAACACGACAATATTAAAACATCCTTGAGTGATAGGAATTCAAATTAAAATAAATAAAGGATCAGACCACTTTTCAAGGTAAGACTCTAAAAAATGAAAATATGTCATTTTAAATCATTTCTTGAAGAATCACCAAGCAGATGAAAACGAAAACATTATATGACTTAGAAAAAACTTCCATTAATTGATGACTCTTGCATAAGGGTCTCTTCTATATCAAGAAATAGCGTACAATCATTAACATAAACGGACTTAATGTTTAGTGCTTACAGTAAAACATAAGATCATTGTTCATATTAAAAACATAAAATAATAACAATAAAACACAGGTAGATAATTTCAAAATATATAAATTTAATAATTTACACTCATTAACGTCCAGCATGGCCATGGTTCGGGTGGATGAGGTGTTGGACAATCTGACAGAAAGTAAAATCTTAAGATTAATTAAATTGACATGCTTTCAGAATTTTTGACAAGGTATGACAAGGTAAGCTATTTTGTGCCTAAATATTCCCTAATAATATAATTAAATATTAATCAATATTAATCAAAATATAATCATTTAAACCAAAGGTTCATGAAAGAAATCTTTTCGAATCAAAGAGTTTAGCTCAACTTAGCTAAAGAGACCATTAACCTTTTCTTACCCAAGTTCATATGCCTGTCGCTATGTCTGTCTGACTGTTTGTTTGTATATAAGGGAACCCCGAACTTTCAATTAGCGATAGAATTTTATAAACATTACGAATTCTGTCGAAGATTATGCCAGCTGATTGGTTAAATATGAAGAGAAGCCCTTGACACTTCTCAGAATGGATAAAAAGTAAAAGGCGGACGTTAAAATCTCGTCTAAAACGACTGAGGGGCAATCTGGGAACCCATCTATTCTTCTGTATTCATAATTCAGAAGTGCCTAAAGAATGGTCAATATGTATTGGTCCCAGCAGACAAAGCAGATAACAACACAGTCCGTCTTGTTAGGTCCATTATTATAATTGCATTTTAAAGGAACTCGGATTTAATTCTTCAAGTGGTAATCCAACTTATACCCATTCTTTCCTTTCTAAGGAGGAAATTCTTCAAAATCATACGTCATTTTTAAATATTTTCAAAATTCCGAACAATCAAATTGATTTTGAATTACCATACCTAAATTGAATTTAAAAAAAAAACTTCAGATAAATCCTTACAAACAAAGATACATAGATGGAACTAGCGAATGTTCTACCGAGCCTCTTTCTTTACTCCTTACGTAAATACTAACAGCAATGAAACAGAAACTTCAGCAGTGAAACAAGATAATCAAGAAGTGGTGTTAATCAAATATGGATACTAAAATCTACAAAGAATTTTAGAAAATTTGAAATCAAAAAAATTTACCAAAATAAATAGCATCTAAACGCATCACTTTTCAACACTTTCTATAACTATTCCCCATGATTATTTGAAGACCTGGGTTTTTTACATCATAGATAACTGCATTTTAATAAGAATAGACTTCGCAAATTTTCTATCTTGTCATTGGTCTTCTACAAACATACTTTGTTAAAAAAAACATTATGATCCTACACACAAATACTCTGAAATTGATATTAAAAAGAAGCTTGAATTCATCATTGTCAATATCTACGTAATCTTTGAAGACCAGGTTTTGCAATAGCTTGGAATTCCCATGAGTTCTGATTGTGTCCCATTATTAGCAGGCCTGTTTTTGCTCTGGCATTTGATCAAAATTCAGCTATGAAACACGGAGATAACGTACATATATCGACATATTTGTTTTCCAAATAGCAATATTTATTTTCATACTGAATTGACCACGGATTTCTTCGTTTACCCTAGCATGACAAGGGCACTAGGCGGGTGTGACTGGTCGATAGGGAATGCCTACTCCATCACTGATGCAATCTATTATATTTTCAGAGGTTCGTGTTTGCTCTGCTTTGAGTGGTTGTTTCAGTGGACTTTTAAGCATGATTACTCTTTGTTTTCTTCATATTTCATGTTAACATTTTCTCCAGTTCCACTGAGTTTATTTCAATCAACCTTGGCAAATGAACACCATTGGGTGATTCAAGTTTGAACAAATGAAAGACAAAGACTTTTTTTCAAACGGGAAATTTGAGATATGATTAAAATAGGCAAGTCATCGAAGAATCTTCATCTCAAGATTCACGTAGCCAAAGTAAGATCTATACGAGAACTACAGAACAGCATCTATTCATTTCAATATATCATCACTCCCGTTTGGTGCGGAATCAAATTTTCCCCGACCATTGCCAAAATAAAAAAAAGTTAAAAAATTAAAATGAGGAAGAGAGCCTCAGCTTGGATACAAGTTTTCAAGGAAAATATAAAAAGACAAAATTTAAAATAATTCTAAAGAAAAATAAAATAATTCGTCAACTTGACTTCAAGTCTCGGTATACCGTAAAAAAATATTTAAAATAGTGGACTTGTACATGTAAATGAGGACTACAGTAAAGGGTCTCATTTTTATGCCCCGCCATGAATATGGCCGGGGCATATAGTGTTTGTCATGTCCGTCTTCCGTCCTTCCGTCCTTCCGTCCTTCTGTCCTTCCGTCTGTCCTTCCGTCACACTTTGCGTTTAGCTCTGTTCAAAGCTCAGTTTCAAAGAAACTATCCAAGATATTTTTATCAAACTTCAGATGCTGATAGATATTGATGAGAGCTATGCAACTGCATCAACATTTTTTGACCTTGACCTTTCTTTTGACCTTGACCTCACTTTTCTTAAATTAGTGTTTAGCTCAGTTTTAAAGATACCATTCAAGATAGTGTAATCAAACTTCATATGTTGATACATACTGATGTAAACTATTCAACTGCATCAACATTTTTTGACCTTGACCTTTCTTTTGACCTTGACCTCACTTTTCTTAAATTAGTGTTTAGCTCAGTTTTAAAGATACCATTCAAGATAGTGTAATCAAACTTCATATGTTGATACATACTGATGTAAGCCATTCAACTGCATCAACATTTTTTTACCTTGACCTTTCTTTTGACCTTAACCTCTGAATTAGTGTTTAGCTCAGTTTAATGAAACCATTCAAGATATTTTTAACAAACTTCATATGCTGATACATACTGATGAGAGCTATTCAACTGCAGCAATATTTTTTACCTTGACCTTTCCTTTGACCTTGACCTCACTTTTCTTAAATAAGTGTTTAGCTCAGTTTTAAAGATACCATTCGAGATAGTGTTATCAAACTTCATATGCTGATACATACTAACGAGAGCTATTCAACTGCATCAACATTTTTTGACCTTGACCTTTCCTTTGACCTTGACCTCACTTCTTAAATTAGTGTCAAACTTCATATGCTGATACATACTGATGAGAGCTATTCAACTGCATCAATATTTTTTACCTTGACCTTTCCTTTGACCTTGACCTCACTTTTTTAAAATAAGTGTTTAGCTCAGTTTTTAAAGATACCATTCAAGATAGTGTTATCAAACTTCATATGCTGATACATACTGATGAGAGCTATTCAACTGCATCAACATTTTTTGACCTTGACCTTTCCTTTGACCTTGACCTCACTTTTCTTAAATTAGTGTCAAACTTCATATGCTGATACCGACTGATGAAAGCTATTCAACTGCATCAATATTTTTTTACCTTGACCTTTCCTTTGACCTTGACCTCACTTTTCTTTAATTATTGTTTAGCTCAGTTTTAAAGAAACCATTCCTAATATTTTTATCAAACTTCATATGCTAATACATACTGATGTAACATTTTCAACTGCATCAACAATTTTTGACCTTGACCTTTCCTTTGACCTTGACCTCACTTTTCTTAAATTAGTGTCAAACTTCATATGCTGATACATACTGATGTAAGCTATTCAACTGCATCAATATTTTTTCACCTTGACCTTTCCTTTGACCTTGACCTCACTTTTCTCAATTTGTGTTAAAATGTTGTGTTACTAATATACCCTCGGCGGGGCATTCATGTCCTATGGACATATTTCTAGTTCTGATTTGTAACTCTGTGAGCGTATTGGTCCATGGGCCTTGTGTTTTGATTTCAGTTTAATCTCTATTCAATAAGAAAGATCAATCGATATGTGCAATATCAGGAATTTTTTAATAGTTGTGACAATTCAACAACTGGAATAAGGGTATCGAAAAAGCACTTATTCAAAAACTGCAGTAGACCTTAAGTGTAGAAATCACGGTGAAGATTTTAATCATGACTGATAGGAAACTCCAGTAAACAGATAGGATTTTCTAAGTTCGATAATTTTATTCAATGTTCAATTGAATCCTTGAACTATCTCTGTTAAATTGAATAAAAGAACTAAACAGCGCAGATGTTTAACGAAATGATTATATATATCCATCACAATTTTTCTAATATACTTACATTTGTATAATAATGGTCGAAATCATGCCTAGTCACCTGGTTGTCCCCTGCAAAAAATAATGATTCATAACAGTTATCAATTAATTCATATATGCGATTTATAAAAGATTTAGATTTCTTACCATTGTGGTCCATAGCATGGAAGTTTGTATCCACGAATTCTACTTTATCAAGCATGCCGTCTTTGTTTGTATCGAAGTGGTTAAAAATTTCCTGTCGAATAGGATTGTCTGGGGCATGATGCTGAAACTCGGTGAAAGTCAGGTTTCCGTCCCCTACCATAGAGTAAAATTGCATTGAAATCTACAAATCCTTACAACAGTGACTGTTTTCTGATACAACAGTTTTCTGATTTAAAATGTGAGATACCGTCAAGATCCCTGTTATCAAACACGCTTGTGAGTTCTGCCAACTCTAGGAGACCGTCTTTTGGGTTGACATCAAGACGTACAAATGCCTGGTCCACCAAAAGGGCAACGTCATGATGGTGTTGTCTAAAGTATTCAAAATATTCAACAATGGATTGTACATATTTGTTCAATGTGAAAGGTATTTGTAGATTGGATAGATACACTATTAAACCTGTGGAATACATGTATAAATTAACGTCTTAGTTTTATTTTAGCGTGTATATATTCCATGCCGTTTTTCTTTTATTTGAGACGGTTCTCTTTGTTTTTTGTTTAATTTCCTTGTAAGAAACTACATGTTTTCATAGAAAATGTCAATACTTAAAGACACAATAAAAATAAGAAAAAAGAAAACTTACGCAGATATATACGAAAGGATGAAAGCAAGGATGAGGTACTTCATTGTCTAAAGTAAACATCAAATAGACATACACTGTAAAAAATCAAATTATCAAGATTCCTCACATACAACTTTCGACATATTTTTTTCCCTACCTTAGACCTACCTTTTCGATTTGTGTCGCGAGGTAAACAGGGGAACTTTTCTCTCAGTGTGAATACTTTTATACATGGAATCCCAAACGTTTCAGATAAGATATTGTGGCAAAAGATAAGGAGACAATGTCTCAATCCAAGTTTTTATATGCAGCATGGCATATATCGCAAATAAGGCACAATGTTTCTTAATTGCTTTTTTCGGTTAAGGTTTTCTCCCAATTTTGAAAACAGCGACCTCTCAAAACATTTTATTTTTAATTATGTCCACTATTAACAAATAAAAGTGTCGTAGCCTGTCTTATATTAATTAATTGGGTGAGGAACATTGCACACGTGTTAGCGTCAAGAGAACGAAAGTTTTAAAGTTATTAATGCTAAATTTGACTACAGAAAATTCCAACTACTTGATCAATAAAAACGGGCTCACAACGGGTGTAATCGGTCGACAGGGGATGTTTACTCCTCCTAGGCCCCTAATCCTATCTCTAGAATTTCCAGAGGTCCTGATTACTGATTTTTATTGTTAAGGGTTTTTTTTATCTTCTTTTATCTTCTGTTTATTATCCTCACCTTTCTCACATAACGTAAGAAACGTTTCAAAAATGTTCTTGTAATCAGTTTAATTAATTATATAAAAATCATTTTTATTTATCAATGACTCTTCTATGACTTTGACGTATGTGAGACGTTTTAATACGGGTATGAAAATGAGAAGTGTGTAAACGCTGCAACCTTTTAATTTTAAAGTAACAATTTTATTACACAGGGTGTACTATACACGTGTGTAATTTCATGAAATTAGGCTGTGTAAGTTGTATCACACAAAATAAGGAAAGACCCGCTGTTGTTTTGTTTTAAATAAAAAAGATTCAAACCTTGTTCAAAATGAGCTAAGGAAAAAATTAAATAGTTGCAGGGGAGCCCTTTGTTGGATTTTATTAGTTTTACTTTTATTGGACCAGCAAACTTAATTAAAATCGTTTATTAGTTGTGTGAAGATATACATGAAAATTTATAATTGTATAATAAACAGGATCATCGTGCACATGTTAAAGATAACCTTTCTGATCTGAACAAACCTTGACCTTACATTACACCTTACACTGGGCTATAACTAAATATTTAAGGTGTTCTTATTGTTTCAGAGGAGAGGAGTATATTATGTTGATTTATTATAACTTTGGTTTATTATTTTGGGCATATTATTGTTTTAGTTAGGGTCAAGTGTTTATAAGCAAGTAGAATACTACAAATACATCGACATAGTGCAGGCTTCATGATCAGATAAGTGGTTCTAGGAGATGTCAGGATATAGAACACACAAAATAAACTGATGGCGGTCTAGCAAAAATGTTCTGCTTCTTTCTAACATACCGATGTAATTGGAGACACTATGATAAAATGTGTTTGCATCAAATGCTTAATATAAAAAAGCATTTTCTACCTTTATTCTCTAAATTTTATCTTTAAAGACAATAATTGTTTCATGTAATGTATATCACTGTCATCGATACACTTGTAATCCCTTTAAGTACTTTTCAGGTAACTAATTATAAATGTAATATCTTTACATTGTTGTACCATTCGCTTGATAGTACACTGTATGCGGTACATTCTACATGTCCTTATACAATATTACGATTATTTTGAGTACTTCTGCACTAGACGTCATGGATAGAATAAATATAAAACTTTTAATTTTATTACACAAGCTTTTACCTAAACGACATTTTGAATTGATTTTATCAGTTACAATCAAAACATTTAATGATAGACATTGGAATGGGTGGGTACCATTGGATTGAAATTCTAGTTTAAAATTCAGCTACGAATCATGGTGTTATGATTGATCCAAAAGACAAATATTTCAATTTCGGAATAATTTGAAATGTATATAAATCAAAATTTCTGTCCAGTGTTTTTAAATAAATAAAAAAGGGACAAACATTTAATTCCTGTTTGGTATGTGCATACGTGTGTTGGGGGGGGGGGTACGATCTTGGAAATAAAAAAGAAAGCTTATTTTTTTAGTTTGGACAACCACTCCCTGTTTTTAATTGTCAAACATTTTTCAGTGAAAACAAAACTAAAGAATATAGCTCTATAAATATATTTTGTCATGTGACGGCATGATCTGACTCGCCAATTTTTGACCCCCTGCCCTTCCCTCCCCTTCTAGAATCAAATGGCCGTCCCCTGAAAAAATAATCTCTGTCTTCTATTACTTTTACGTGTCCTTAAAACTATGGGCTAAAAAACTCATATAAATTTAAAATAAATAAACATGTATTTGGGAATTGAAATATTTGTCTTTTGGATCATACATTCAAACTTTGCGTTTGAAAACAGCTCAGGTGGATTGAAATTGAATTTCAAACTAGAATTTCAATCCAATGTTTTCACGGATGTCCGTGTCGAATTGTACCCGCCCATTTCATTGTCTATCATTAAATGTTTTGACTGTAACAGATGGAAATGACTTAAGCTGTATATTTCCAATTTTGCCATATATCTATCTATCTATCTATCTATCTATATATATATATATATATATATATATATATATATATATATATATATATATATATATATATATATATATATATATATATATATATATATATAAAGCACTAAAAACCAACAACACTGTATATCCTAAGTGTCGGATCTACTAAGTAGATACAAGGTCACGGATGGAAATTTATATAAAGCACTAAAAATGACCAACGACACGAACAATAATAATTGTCAAATTTTCGGGACAACCTGTCCCTTCCTCAGGACAAAGAAAAAAGTTAAGAAGTCATAAAAACAAAGGAAATAGAGAAGCAAAAACAACTAGCACTACTACTAAACTACCAAACACTAAATATTTACAATGTTACATGTTTAATTTGGAGTTTATAAACAGTTGTGAACAAAGAAATCCGGAGCGCTATGAATTGCGTCCGGTCTATCGGGTGTAGTCTGGTGAAGTGTGATTTACATAATTGAACGAATTAATTATCGCTAATTAATTACGGCCAACAGTAAATCGTACATTGTCTTATTCTCTCAAAATAGCGTAACTCTACATGATAAAAAGAAATTAAAGAAAGATAATATTGAAGGACAATTTTGAAATATGAATTTGGATATATTATAAATTTGGAAATCGGAAAAAAGAAATAAACAAAAATGTGAGCTGTAAATATTTGGGTAGGTTGTTCCAGGATTACTAATACGAATTAACGGTAAAGTTTACACTATATAGAGAGAATGAACTTGTTTGTTACAATCCGGGATTGGGTCTAGTTCACGTTCATCCTGGTGAAGTCATTAAGTTTGTTAATACCATTAGGGCGGAATGACTTCAGCCTGTGCATCCAGAACTTCTCATTCTTTAATGATTGTAAGGCAGATCATACCCTTCTCGTGACTATGGACGTCACATCTTTGTACACCAATATTCCGCACGATGAGGGTATCGAAGCCTGTAGAGAAGTCTGGGAAAGTAGATCCATACAAATTCCTTCTACCGAGTCCCTTGCCAAGCTCCTTGAACATGTTCTCAAGTATAACAACTTCATGTTTAATGGAGAACATTACCTGCAGGTTAATGGCACCATCTTATGCCAATATTTTCATGGGCAGACTGGAACGCAACTTGCTACTTCAAGCACCATTTAAGCCCCTTAGCTGGTTGCGTTTCATTGACGATATAGAGATGAAGTGGGTGGAATGTCGCGAGAGCCTCGAGGCATTCATTTCGTTTGCCAACACCTTTCATCAGTCTATCAAATTTACAGTAGACGTATCTAATTCGAAAAACATATTCCTAGATACTACATCTACCCTGACTGATGGTGAAATCGAGTTCAGTCTCCACACGAAACCCACAGATTCCCATCTGTATCTTATGCCAACTAGCTGTCATCCCCCACACACATTCAAGGGTGTGCCTAAGGGTCTAGCCACCAGAATTCGGCGCATCTGTTCATCCCCTGCCTTATATCAAGAACAAAGCGGTCTCCTTAAGTCCCACTTATGCAAGAGAGGCTACAATGCCCGCACCGTACAAACTGCTATTGATGAGATGGCGGGATATGACAGGCAAAACCTATTACGCTACAAGGAAAAAGACAATAGCGGCAGGGTCCCTCTGGTAACCACGTACCATCCCGTCCTTAAGAACCTCAGCGGTATCCTTCAAAAGAATCTGCCAATTCTCCACTCAAATAAACGAATGGCAGAGGTCTTTAAGGAGCCCCCATTGGCTGCTTACAGACGCCCGAGGAACCTGAAGGACATGGTAGTAAGAACCAGATTGGACAATCCATTACCTAACGGGGGCTTTAAAACTTGCTCTGACAGAAGATGTCTTCTCTGTAAGTACAGCTCTGACACAGACAGTTTTAACAGCCCCGTTACAGGCCGCAGCTACAACATACTAGGGAATTTGTCCTGTCAAACAGACAACTGCATTTATCTCATCAGTTGCAAAGTTTGCTCCAAACAGTATGTTGGTGAAACAGGAGATCTCCGCAGGAGGGTCAATAATCACCGTTCTACCATTAGGACCAAAAAACTCAATGAACCCGTTGGGGAACATTTCAACCTTGAAGGTCACAAATGGGAGGACATGACAGTAGTGGTTATTGACCATGATCCAAGATGGACAGACGCGCAGAGAAAAGGCAAGGAAAAGTTCTGGATGCACAGGCTGAAGTCATTCCGCCCTAATGGTATTAACAAACTTAATGACTTCACCAGGATGAACGTGAACTAGACCCAATCCCGGATTGTAACAAACAAGTTCATTCTCTCTATATAGTGTAAACTTTACCGTTAATTCGTATTAGTAATCCTGGAACAACCTACCCAAATATTTACAGCTCACATTTTTGTTTATTTCTTTTTTCCGATTTCCAAATTTATAATATATCCAAATTCATATTTCAAAATTGTCCTTCAATATTATCTTTCTTTAATTTCTTTTTATCATGTAGAGTTACGCTATTTTGAGAGAATAAGACAATGTACGATTTACTGTTGGCCGTAATTAATTAGCGATAATTAATTCGTTCAATTATGTAAATCACACTTCACCAGACTACACCCGATAGACCGGACGCAATTCATAGCGCTCCGGATTTCTTTGTTCACAACTGTTTATAAACTCCAAATTAAACATGTAACATTGTAAATATTTAGTGTTTGGTAGTTTAGTAGTAGTGCTAGTTGTTTTTGCTTCTCTATTTCCTTTGTTTTTATGACTTCTTAACTTTTTTCTTTGTCCTGAGGAAGGGACAGGTTGTCCCGAAAATTTGACAATTATTATTGTTCGTGTCGTTGGTCATTTTTAGTGCTTTATATATATATATATATATATATATATAATATATATATATATATATATATATATATATATATATATATATATATATATATATATATATATATATATATATATATATATAAAGCACTAAAAACCAACAACACTGTATATCCTAAGTGTCGGATCTACTAAGTAGATACAAGGTCACGGATGGAAACTTATATAAAGCACTAAAAATGACCAACGACACGAACAATAATAATTGTCGAATTTTCGGGACGACCTGTCCCTTCCTCAGGACAAAGAAAAAAGTTAAGAAGTTTTATGACTTCTTAACTTTTTTCTTTGTCCTGAGGAAGGGACAGGTCGTCCCGAAAATTTGACAATTATTATTGTTCGTGTCGTTGGTCATTTTTAGTGCTTTATATATATCACAAAATGAAAATGTGTAAAAGTGAAAATGATATGCTCTCAATTTATCGCCGAATGTCAAAGAGAAATGGTATTCATTAGTCAGTGTAATATATGTTATTCAAAACAGCTTGCAGGTTTAAAAAAGAGACGCATTTCAAAGTGTTGACAATTACATGGTACATTTTAATTACTAGTAATCAGCAATGTACGTAGCAGAGTTTGCATTATCAAACTTCCTCTGGCACATACAGTAGTGATTTTTCATAATTCAAGATAATTATACCACCGACTGTTGGACACGTGTTACAAATATAGTTGCAGGCCATGAAAAATGATTACAATGATTAAATGAGCGTTTATGGAATGCAGTTTAGTAACACAGTTATAGGTCATTTAGCACGAATTTCCTTCGGATCTACGGCTTTGAAATCCAACAAAGAAAAACCTTGACTAAATACAATACGAACACTAAGAGTATATCAGTTAATTATTACAGTATTTAACTCTATAGTTTAACAAAGTGAATGTGACTTTTTTTTTTAAATTTTGCTTATGCTCCCAATTCCCTTTGAAAGGATGAAATTCTTCAAAACCAAGTTTTTAAACATCCCAGTCAACTAGAGCATATGAGTAACAAACCTTCAAACTTTTGCCAAAACTCACATGCTTCCAAAGATATAAAGCAGGGTTAAGGCAATGTTTAACCAAACTTCTATCTTTACTCCTCACAAAAACACTGTTACATTTCCAGATGTGTATTGTTCCTCAACATATTCAAATCGTGGTGTAATTTAAATGCTGATTCTCACAAACTCCAAAAATATTTTAAAGATTTTTTTTTCTAATAGCAACAGTATCAAAACGTACGACGCTTTAGCATGTCATTCATTTATTCCCCAAAAAAATTTAAGACCAGACTTTTTGAACTAGAAAATTTTCTCATGGGTTCTCTGTACTTCTTTATTAGCATACCTGCTTTTTGTTCTTAGAAAAAAGAACATGTATCTTGCTGTGGCCTTCATTTTGACAGATATTTTCACTTTATGCTTTGATTTAATATATCTCATTGAACTCGAAATAACAAGATCATAGAGTCTGAAGCACCTCTTTCATAGTTATATATGTATTTTATTAAACATAGAATGGCAAGCTACCATCTAAACTATAAAATATAAACTAAATATATATAAACAAGATGACTTCAACCTTTGTATCGTTTACTTCTCTTATTTATGTACGAATATATTTGTGATCTGTCTGACGTATTAATGTCTCCATACGTATTCCAAGTTCATTAATCTACGATCAATTTCTAAACTCAAACAGGGTACTGATAAATAAATTGATGTTACAGGGTTCCCACAATCTTGTTGAAAGTCAGCATTTCGCAAACTTTATGGTTTTTAAATGACACATTATTCCGCTTCTCTGATGAAAATGAAAGGGGAAGCTTATTCCTCCATGGCACCCAATCCAGCCTCTGATGTTTCCACAGGTACGTTTGCCCAGATTTCAATCTGTATTTTTTAAAATTATTATGAGCTGAATCACCGCTCCTTATCTTCACATTTCACACGACCACTGAGCAAATATGTTACCATTATAAAATGTGTACAAGTTTTAGTCTAGATTTCAAACATTGTTTAAATTTTCTTCTCGTTTTCCACATAAAAATAGAGACCAGTCCATGTTATGATGTAAAACAGAAATGCAAAATACTCTTAAAATAACACATTTCAAGCACCATCAAGCAATTGTGTAAGAGTTTAAAAATTACAAAACAGCTTTTGTTTAGAAAAAAATTGACATCGCAGTGTTTTAATAAGAAATAATAATACATCTGTCGATGATTTTCAAGTGGTAAAAATTGTATACAGATATGAAAATATATACCGGTATAACATTAGAGTCATTTTTGCACAGTAGATGTATATTTATTTCCACACATCATAGTATTCTGATGCATGGGGTAAATCTTCTCCATAGTTTTTAGGGAATACGCCTTTAGGTACCGGACTTGACTGCACATCTCTCACAGTTTCTTTGTGTTTTGTATCAAGACTTGAAATCTGCTGGATGATATTTTGATAAGCTTCTGTTTTTCCTTTCTTTGATTTTTTTGCACCTATTTGATTGAAAAGAAAAAGAGAACAATGCACACACTTACAGATATATATATATATATATATATATATATATATATATATATATATATATATATATATATATATATATATATATATGAAAATCATGCCTAATATACGGTGAAGAATACTGATTAGTTCACATATAATGCAAAACTCATACGAACTTTTTCCTTCTTTCATCTTTTTCCCGTTCGTTCTTTCTAGTCTTCTCTTTTTAGCCCTGAAGCAGTGAAAAAATAAACATTTTACTAAATATTTACCCCTATAAACAGAAATCAAAAAGTAAATACATACATATCACCTATGACTACATACGTTGTAGTTAGCAATCCATTCATTAACGGCGTGGTATATGTAAAGAACAAGAAAATAGAAAGTATTGCCATTGTTGCTATAAAAACAACCAGACACGTTAACCACAGGGTATTCCACGATGATGTGATAAACTTCTCTGGCATCTCTGTTGTTGTGGTGGTCGTAGTATTTAGCTGCAAAATATATAGAGAACACATGTTTAAAAAACATGCATTTATTTACCTGGAAGTTATCTGCAGCAATGATTTACAATAGTTTTGTAAGAATACCTCGTAAAATACGATTCGTATTTTTACAGTTCCTTGATTTCCTCCAAAATCGATGGCTGACAAAATCAAATCAAGCGTATCTCCTGCCTCAAAGTCCGTTAATTTTCTGTTAACGAATAGTGTTCCACTGGATGTAACATCAAAATATTTGTAATTATATGACGACATATCCAGTCTATATATGACGTCACCAAAGCTTGATACATCTGCATCGGTTGCTGTGACATTTACAAGAACTGTTCCAGTTGTTTCGTACGGTGTGACATAAACTGGGACTTCTGACGATTCAAAAGCTGGAGAATTGTCATTTATATCCGAAATACTGATCACCAGAGAAGTGGTGCACGATAACCATCCTGCGTCAGTGGCTGTCACCTTACATGCGTAGCTAGAAATCTTTTCTGTGTCAAGGTCATAGGAATAAAAATATGATACTCTTCCTGAATTTGAATTCATGGAGAATCTCCACGAATCTACTCCGCAGCTAAGTTGGAAAGTGTGAGAGGAACCAGCATCTTCTTCTGCGATCACAAATCCAGCATTAGAAAATAAGGTCCCAGCCTATGTGAAAAAATAATTATATAAATGAATAGTATACCCTGGATTGAATGTGAAGAAAAACAAACAGGGTAAATGTTTTACAAAACAAAAAAAAGTTCCTACAGAAAACAGAACTTTCAGACAGACGCGTCCATCTTACCGATCCCTCATCGGCCGTGACCGAGTACTGATTTTGGTGGAAGGAACACGACTCGTTTTCGTCAGCTACAGAGACTGACATTGTGGCTGTTGAGGTGTCTTTACCGTCTGTTGCCGTTATGATCAGTTGGTATTGTTTAGAAGGAACAGTTTCATAATCCAGTGTGGTAGAAGTTGTTGTCACCTCTCCATCTGTAAAAGTGAAATAGAAAAAAAGTCTTGAAAGTATTGAAAAAACCTAAAACAGACGACGAAACCAGTAAAGAGAATTCAAAATCTCTTTTTCATTGAAGCTAAGAAAAGTTTAGTATAGGGCTTTAAATTTATAACATAAACAAATAAATAAATCAAATTCACGCTAATGATTATATATTAATTTCTTAATCTTTCCAAATGAAAAATGTGATGATAACAAACAGTGATCGATAAAAAAAAATCTATGACAACAAATCCGTGAACAGGACAAAAAACGAAGACCCCGGAAATTCTAGAGGTGTAATCAGTTGCCTAAGAGGAGTTAGCATCCCTTGTTGACCGGTCACATACGCCGTGAGCCCTGGGTGTTAATCAGGTAGACGGAATATTCTGCAGTCAAATTTAGCATAAAACAAAGGCATAAAAATTGGTATAAGACCCGTCAGCCACAATGCGTCCCAATTATAGGTTATATTTGCTAACAAGGTCATAGAATGTACGAAATGCTGACTTTAAACGAAATTGTTGAAATCCCTGTAACATCAACTTATATGTCAGGAGCCTGCCTCTGATAAAAAATTCACCGTATTCAGAGCATGCTCTTGAGTATCCAATATGTTTGAGACGTAAACACCATATGCAAGTGATAACGGAATTTTAAAACACAAATAAGGAAAGCTGACGATGAAAAAGTTGAAGTCATCTCGTTCGTCATACAATTTAGTTGTTAGTTGGCCCTTTTCGTCTATATTCAGTAAAACATCCAAATATGAAACAGATTTGGCAGACTCTGTGGTGTCATTTATTTCGAGTAAATTGGGATATATTGAGTCGACGTATGAATTGAACTATTGTTAATTGATAAAAAGTCGTCGATATATCTGAATGTCGAGTTGAAGGCCACAGCAAGATTTTTTTTCTTATGAGAAGTTTTTGAATAAATCCTGATTCATAGGAATGTGAAAACAGGTCGCCTAATAAAGGAACACAATTAGTGCCTATCGCAATTCCAACAGTTTGTTGGAATACCTGGTCTCCAAACACTATCTAAATATTGTCAATGAAAAACTCCAGCATCCTTTTAATATCAACTTTTGATTACTTGTGTGTAGAATCAGAGTGATTTTCAATAAAGTAATATTGTTGATGACTAATATCAGAAGAAAAAAATCACTTTCGCTTTATCATCTATCCATCTAATTAACAATAGTCTTTCTATTTTGTTTAAAAGTGTTTAGTTGATTAAAAGGTTTAAATTGTGAAATACTTGTTTTGTTAATTGCAAAGTATGATGATCCTGTTGTTGGATTAAATTCTACATCAAATTGTATTGTGTCTGTTAAATCTAGGTCGTTGACGTCGACTCTGTACAAAATAACTCCCAAGGGTGTATTCTCCAGCACGTTCCAAACTGCACCAACAGGCAGATTGCCGAAAACGGGAATGTCATTTACGTCTGAAATAAAGAATGTTTATAATTTTGCAAACATAATACAAATACGAAGTTCAACTATAGATATTGTCAATTTGAAATAAATCCTACAAAGATGACTTTATTACAATATTATAAGGAAAATATCCTTCGATATTAGTCGAAAGATTAATAATTTTAATTGTTTGATCTGGGTTTTAGTGTCATTTTTCTTTTGAGGTGTGATATTTTAGAATATTTTTAACATTACAATTGAGCTTTCGAGCTTTTGAGCTTTATTACTGTTTGCTATCTCCATATTTCATAGTGACTTATGATGTTATATATCTATCTGTTTCGTGTGCAACACTTAGGGCCGACAATTTGTCACAAAATTTCTTTAAAGCAAATATTTTAACTGACTTTGTAGATGGATAGTTAAAACTCTAGCTGGTATTGTTGTACGAAGGTCAGCAATGGAAATGGACAGATCGTATCCCGCCTGAAAAACTTCTGACAGGTCCCTTGTCACCTGTACAACACCATCTAATTGGAAAGCAAGTAAAAATATATATACGATGTCAATAGCAAATGGTTTACAATCAACAGAAAAACAATAGAGTAAGCATATTCACCAGGTATGGTATCATTAAAATCATGTTGATAATAAAGTTTTTTCCCCTAAACCATGTTTGTAATGATGGTTCTTTATAATTAAATAGTACAATTCTCCAAGTCTTGGTTATCAAAACAGTGGGTCTCACAGTTGAGTATTTGGAATGGAGCACTGCTAGGGCTCAGTGTAAAGGTCAGCGTGTCGTTTTCATCATCATGAGTGGTAACAGTAAATACCACGTCCCCTGTATGTACACCAGATGCATTCAAAGTGACGTCGGCTTGAAAAAAGATAGATTAACCATCATGAAGCACAACTAAATAGGAAATATTGTACTCTTTAGTAAAATTACTGTGTAAAAATTATTTCAGGAATACTTTCAATATTTTTATTTTTTCCTGCCAACAAGACCGTTACATTTAAATCTCTGTAAAATCTTCAATAATTTATGAAAAGGAAAAAAACTTACCTGGAAGATTTTTTATGAACGGTGGCGAATTTTTCTGGATGTCAACATAGAATTCACCCAAGTTTGATCCACCAGCTATGTCGGAACAAGTGACCACAATTTTGTATTGCTTAACTGTGTCAAAACTTAAGTTTGGATTGGGCAGGGAAAATATCCCATAATCTATAACGAAATGAAAATGAAAACTTACTTAATATTAATAGAAATTCTCTTTATTTCACATCCATTTTTTATCAATTTAACGGAAAAACCTGTAGTTCCTTGGATCTGCTGAACTTCAAACGGTGCGTTTGATGGCGACGTAGAGGACAAAGCACAGGTGACAACATCAGACTGGCGGTCAGACGTACTTAACGTAAACAGACGTAGGCGGTTAACCGTGTCCTCATGTAGAAGACAACCGTCTGGTAAATTGGTAATTATGGGAGGCTAAAATATACCGATCGGTTATAAATAGGTGACAACAATTGCCAAATGCTGTATAAAATCATTAACATTAATATGGCACCCTTACTGTGTTTACGACTTGAATGGTTGCTGTGGCTACTGCCGCGTTCTGACAAGTATCTGTCACACTGAGTGACAGCGAGTAAGTCCCGACTGACAACGCCGACCCAGTCACAATGTAACCTGTAATAAACCAGAAAAATTTCGAACCGACAAAACAATGTCGAAGGAATTTAGAAAAATTCAAATTACAAGCACAATTTAAAAACAAGATTTTAAGTTTTGAAGTTCTAACAAAGAACATGTCAAACCGTTTTTATAGTTGAGGTAAGTGGTTGAGGTAGTTGGAGTTACGATGAGATCCTCCCGTCTATCGGGGTCCCATACCCTGACAGTGTACACCCGACTTCCTATAGCTGTATTATCAAACACCGTGGCAGTCAGTCCCATGTTAACAAAGTACGGAGAACCACCTATATTAGATACATGCCTGAACAATTTTACAATTTAAAAATATTGAGCAAATATATAGTGTCTTTTAAGGACCCTTTTTAAGTCAACTTTATTATGTTTTTTTTCTCTTTTTATGGTCTTTCTCTGTCTCTATTTACTCTCTCTCTCTCTCTCTCTCTCTCTCTCTCTCTCTCTCTGTGGATTCACTTTATACATGTACCAATTAATGGTTTATTTTATATACTGCTTTTCAATGTTAAATGTACTTTATTATGTTTTTTTTCTCTTTATTTTACTCTCTCTTTCTCTGGATTCACCTTATATATGTACCAATTAATGATCTATTTTACATACTGTTTTCAATGTTAAATGTACCAATAATTGTTATATGTACCTTGACCTATGGAGAGAACGATTATAGGCATTATGCCTGCTATTCAATCCATTTCATTTGTAATGAATAAATATATTTTTAAACTAAACTAAGGACCCTTGCTATTTCTTGACAGAAATTCTTTTCATTTACAATACACAGTGTAAATTTTACTTAATTGTTTGCTTAAGCTTTCTTGTTGATAACCTTGTCTGAATAACTAATGCGTAAAGCAAAACACCACGACAAGAGATTACAATATGTCATATACTAGTATACTCAAAACAGTAAAGTCGTAAATTTATTTAATTTTACTGACTGTCTGCTGTGGAAACTTTCACGGCGTATGAGATATCATTAGTGTAGGTCACTGATGACCATGGATACGTATCCCCCTCGTACACCGTCAGACCAGCCGTTAACGTCCCAATTCTGATGTTATCTGGATACATTGCACTGCCAGCGGAGTAGGATACCACCGGGTCGGAGAGACAGAACCTTTCATACAAGAGTTCTGATTGTTAACGAATGATTTATATGATAAAATTAGTTTGTTTACTTGCATTAACTTGTGCAAGTCTATTTATTATTTTTAGTATTGGATATAATTTAATTTTTGAGAGTTCATGATAACGCTTTAACGCTTCATGATAAATATGCCGGCGTGAAGTGTTGTAGTTCATGTGCCTCATGAATTCTCAAAAATTAAATTCATATCTTATATTTACATTATTTTTCTAATGACTTGTCACAATTTATGTCATTCAATGATCCGTTTTGAAACAAAGCAGTTTGCACTATAGTTTTACGTCAAGTACGGTATCATGATGTCACAATGGGGATATTCTTGCTCATCCATGGTAGTTCATGAGAAAATGAACAGTATTCTTATTTACAAAGAATCTAAAGGATAAATATTTGGAAATGTAAATATTAAAATATAATCAATTTTAAAAATTGTACTTAACATGAATACAGTTATATTATATAGTACTATACAGTACGCTTAAATAGTTACAAAATTGTAGTCATACGTAATTTATTTAAGAAATGAATTTAATTTTTGAAGATTTATGAGGACATGAACTACGATGCTTCACGCCGGCATATTTCATGAAGCGCGTAACGCGCTTCATGATAAATATGCCGGCGTGAAGCGTTGTAGTTCATGTACCTCATGAATTTTCAAAAGTTAAATTCATTTCTTATATTTACATTATTTTTCTGATGATTTGCCACTAATAACGCCATTCAACTGTCATTTTTTAAGCAAAACAGTTTGCACTATAGTTTTGACGTCAAGTAAGGTATTATGACATAACAATGAAGATATTCATGTCCATTCATGGTAGTTCATGAGGAAATGAACTGTATTCTATTTTGTAAAGAATTATAGGGGAAATTTATTGGAAATGTAAATATATAGATGTAAACGGTGAAGATAATGAACAGTGACCAATCTCAGAAATCCAGTAAGGAATAAAAAACATGAATAGGGCAGAAACACCTCTGGAAACACTAGAGGTGGGTCAGGTTGGAGACTTGCGTGAACAACAATTAAAAAAACAGAAAAATTAAGAACAAAGACATAAATCACAGAAGAACTTGAAATACCTGGTATTTTCTTGTAGATGAAATATGGAAAAAACGAACAGTATTCAAGCTAAAAGTCCATTAAAACATTACAGGAGCAGATCAAACACGGACCTCGAAAAACAGAGGTAGGATCAGGTGTCATGGAGGAGTGAGCATCCCCTGCCGACCGGTCACACCCGCCGTGTGCTCCTTGTCATGATCGGTAAATAACGGAAAAATCCGTCGACAATTCAGTGTGTGAATAATGGCCTAACAATTAGTATGAAAATCGTCAGTCAGCATATGACTTAATGATAGATTGTATTTGCTGAAAGGTCATTGTATCGACCACAGAACTTACAAAATGATGACTTTAAACGAGACCGTTGATATTCTTGTTTCATCAACTTGTTTTTCAATAACTTACCTCGATTCAGAAATCGTTCATACGTAGAGCATGTTCTTGCGTATCGAATCAACTGAGAGATATACACCACATATGCAGGTGATAAGGGTATATTGCTGCATAAGTAAGGGAAGTTGACGATTAAAAAGTAAAAGTCATCACGTTTATCATAAAGATTAGTTGTTAGATTACCATTAACGTCTTTTTCAAGTAAAATATCCAAATATGAAACAGATGTGTCAGACTCTGTAGTATCTTTTATTTCAAGCTCACTTGGATATATCGTGTCGACATATGAATGGAAATAACTGTATTGTTAATTGATAATACGTCGTCGATATATCTAAATGTCGAGTTGAAGGCCACAGCAAGAAATTTATTTTTCTCATGTATATATTTGGAATAAATTCTGCTTCATATGAATACAAAACTAGGTCTGCTAACAACGGGGCGCAATTGGTATCCATGGGAATTCCAATAGATTGTTGGAAGACCTAGTCTCCAAAAACCACATAGATATTGTCTATCAGAAACTCGAGCTTCTTTTTAATATCAACTTCAGAGTACTTGTGTGTACAATCAGAATGTTTTATAACAAAATAATTTTGCAAATGACTAACTATTATTTTATGGAGTTCCAATACAAAAGAAGGATATATATAATATATAAGTTTCTACAAACCATCCAATAAGATCGCCGCTTTGTGTTATTATTCTGTCGAACTCTGGCACCTGATAAGTGTGTGTTACACCAGTGGCACCAGCTAGGAATAAACAGAAAGGACAATCATTAAAACGTAGTTACACTGACAATCAATTGTTAGAATTGTCCACTGTCATTCAATAGCCCCGACAAGACTCCTGCCTACCTGGTACTGTGTAGCTATTTTGTCCTACCAATGTGTAAGTGGTTCCAGATTTTCTCCACACCTGGAATTTGATTTCACCTGATTTTCCGGCATGGAAAGTCCACTTCTTTATAACTCCACAACAAGACATGCGAAGGGAGGCGTCTTCCAGCAAAATAATTTGCCCTAATAGAGATTTTTTTAAATGTCCATTTATTTGTAAACTTACAGAATGGAAAAAATTTACTTTAAAATGTTATTCTTACTTTGAGTAGAATCCGTTGACAAAGTCGTTGATAGAGAGTAAACGTAATCCCTGTTTCCACAACCTAATATATAATTTAATAGTTATACAATATACATGAGATATATACAAATACATTTAATTTTCATAATAAAAATTTGGTAATAGACAATGACCAGGTAAATAAATATATTTGTACTATTGATTATAAATCAAGATACCTAAGGACGATTAAAATAATTACGATGGTTTTTAACGGTACTTACGGAAGCAGTCTAAGGTATTACAGCTGATAGTCTCTGTGCTTGTGTATGGGCCGGGATATCCGCAGTTGTTACCACTGTTTAAGGGGGAGGGGTTGTTACACTCTCTTGACCGTATTTTAGTACCCCCACCGCACGTAACAGTACAGGAATTCCACGTGTCCCACGATCCCCATTCACCATGTCCTAAAGAAGAGCATAGAAAGAAAAAGATAGTTTTGTTTTTCAGATTTGGATCAAAGTTCTATATTGTAAAAAATATAATTATGTACACCATGAAATATCCGTTCATTGAAAAATCGATGTCATTGACGTTGACTAAAAAATTCGAAAAACTATAGGGGTTGTTTCCAGGCAATTTGCTCCTAATTGTAAGTTACGAAAAAATTATTGCATTACAGTGGCTTTATCAATCATCTCAACATTAACCATTGACTTCTGGCTTAGTGACAACAAAATCTTTAGATGTCTTTCTCTTACAGTTTTCCATCTGTTAAAAGAATGAATTTAATAGCTTCCCAAGTTTTACTGTATAACCTGGGTTGGGGCAGTTAACGCTTTATAAAAAACGAAGCGTTTAATAAAAAAGTGTAATCTTTTCCAACCCAGGTTATACCAGTATAACTTGGGTAGTATTAAATTCATCTCTTTAATTTAATTTTCCATCATTAAGTGTAAAAAAAATAAGACAATTTCTCCTTCAAAAATGCCTTTAAATTGTACTTATTTTAAATGTAACGGAATGATACGTTTTTGACGTAAGTCATTGTGACGTAGGCAACACAGATTATACGATATGAACTAATTTGTTATCCAATCAAATGACGCGTTACAACCAACATTAAATTATATAAATATATTATGAAGTCTGAAGTTTAAAATAAGATAGATTGCAAAAATGTTAAATGGTAATAATATTGTTTTTGATCTTGGTCTTCGAGTATGTGACCTGTAAAACTACTGGCGCCCTGCTTTATTTTTCCGATACCGGTAAAATAAATTTTAAGTCGGTAGGATGAAAAGTACTGAAGTCATTATGTCACATATAACTAAAGTCATTTTGTCACATATATCTATTGACATACAAACAGACAAACAACTGGACAAACGGATTATCCGATTACTGTAGATCACCTGAATTTTGATGCGGGACCCTAAGAAACAAAACTTTAAAAACGGACAATAATCAAACTCTGCGTCACTCTGGAAGCAAAATATTGAGATTTGTTTGATTATATTCAATATATTGAGTTTTTTTGATTATATACTAACGGGGACATCCTACAGACAGACAACTACTAGATTGGCTTGTGGACCCGGAACATCCACTAGGTCTGTTACATGACCTGCTTCTGGTCAGTGTCTGTGTGGTACAGGTGCTGGGACAACTCCAAGAAGTCCACGTGGTCCAGATATCTACAAAGAGTCAGAGAAAAAAGACAAATCAATACAAAACTATGATGAATATCGATCTAGAGTCAAAGAAAATTAGCAAAGAAAATACAACTATTATGTCCATATATCGATACAGAGTCAAAGAAAAAAATCAGCACAGTTCAAATATTTAGACGTTTTATCATTATTACCAATATCAATTTTCATTCCTACGTTGATTCGATATATCCCATTGAACTTGAAATAAAAGACATCACAGAGTCTGACACATCTGTAGTGTCGTTTTATTTCGTTTTATTAGAGAAAGATATTGATGGTAAACTATACGTTATGGTAAACGGAGTGACTTCAATTTTCTATCTTCATCTTCAACTTTCCTTATTTATGTAGCAATATACCATTATCACCTAGAGTTTATGTCTCCCAGTTGATACGATACATAAGAACATGTTCTACGTATGTACACTTTCTAAACGAGGGATACGCGAATATCATCATTCTCGTTCAAAGTCAACTTTTCGTAAATTCTAGAGTCGATATAATGGCCTTCTTTGCAAAAACAAAGGCCGTTAGGACGAATGGTTGTCTGAAATCTTTTATACAAATTGTTAGGTCTTCTTTTCATTAATATCTACGGATTTTCCGTTGACAGAATCATAACAAAGGGCACACGGCGGTTGTGACAGGTCGAAATCCTGATAACAGGAATTTTTCAGAGCATTTGCAATTGATTACATTACAACTACTTGTAACAAAAAAGCGATGATTACTGATTTACTCATGAATACATCAAACACTGTAATCGATTACAGCTGATACAAGTATCCAATGCCTAGTCAAGATTTCTATAAATAATCAGAATAAAAGCCAAACAATACAACTGACATTTGTCCAAATATCTTTTAAAGAGTCAGAGATAAAGTCTAAACTCTACTGCTAAAATAAGAAGATGTTTAAGAGATACCGATAAATATCTAAAACAATACAACCAAAATATGTCCAGATATCTACATACAGTCAAAGATTAATCTAAGACATTTCTGCCCAAAGATATCAAAATCGTTATATGGGGTCAGATATCTATATAGAGTCAGAAAAAAAACAAAGACAATAGAATTAGCATACCTAGCTATTTTTATATTATTAAACATTACGAACGAATGATTACTAAATCTCTATAAAGAGTCGGAAAAGGAGAACAGTACAACCAAAGGAAATCTATAAGGATACAGAAAAACCAAAGACAATAAATATAATTATTATATAGTCTATAAATAGTCCCTATATAATCTATACAAACGCAAACAGTTCATAATACTACATATTCACTGGATTTGAAGCCGTATTCAACGGAGAACCAGTGCGCGTGCAGCGGCATTGTGACGTCACAATCGATCAATACCTCAAATAACGTTGAAAACAATGGTTGCCACGGCCGGAGCCAGCTGTATATATGAACAGGAAAAATTTTAGGCAAGTTTATCGCAGGATTATTTTCCAAACATTTAATTCTATGTCTTACACACAGCAAAAGGGAAACACGCAAGTTATACGTCGTAATCTGGACATTATTTTTTTTATTTTTCTACGACAGAAGTTACATGTAGTTAATGAAAATGGAATCGTCATGCAGCCTTCAGTGTCTGATTCATTCAAATCCTGACTATATAATAAAACAGTTATGGACTCTTTCAGTGGTGAATATGGTTTGTTATTCACCAGAAAAATATCAATATTGATATTTTTCTGGTGAATAACAAACCATATTCACCACTGAAAGAGTCCATAACTGTATAGTAATGTAGCTATACATGGTGAAAATTAAGATGATAGGAAACCCTTTAAGATATCGGCATAAAGTGTGTAATGAAAAAGGTGATGATAATAAACAGTGATCGATCTCAAAAAATCTATAAACAATACAGATCTGTGAAGAGGGAATAAAACACGGACCTCTGGAAATTCCAGAGGTGCCTAGGAAAAGTAAACATCCCCTGTTGACCGGTCACGCCCACCAGGAGCCCTATGTATTGATCAGGTAGACAGAACATTCCGTAGTCAAATTCATTATGAAAAACAAAGGCCTAACAATTGATATGAAACACGTCAGCCAAAATACGATCCACTACCACGTTTATTTGCTAAAAAAAAAAAGGCCATTATAGCGACCATAGAATTTACTCAATGCTGATTTTAAACGATGTTGTTGAAATCCCTGTAACATCAACTTATCTCTCAGTAGCCTGTCTTGGTTTAAAAAATTGATCGTACTCGTAGCATGCTCTTGAGTATCGAATAAGTTGGGAGATGTAAACAACAATTGTAGGTGATAGCGGGATATTACTATAAAGAGAAAAACATTTTCTAAATGTTAAAATTATGCAATTGAAAAATGATATTGTGTATGCATAGATATCAAATAGAGAACCTTTTTTTTAATAGAAATAGAAGACATTATGACACTTTTTATACAATATGTAAATTTTATTTTAATTAATGCCTACATACAGTAACGTAATTTTTTCTAATGCATGTATATATACAATGTAATTAATTTTATCTAAATTTTCACCGATTACTCGGATGAAAAATGTATAAATTGTTTATGCAGTTGTTAAAAATGGTCAGTGAAAATGTTCGATCCAGCATTTCACAATCTTGTTGTCACAACTGCTATTGCACTGATATTCACATATATAAATTTCGACATTCTTTTCTAATTCTTAGTTTATACTAATTAATGTGTGTTTCCAATATTCCAAAAGATCTTTGATTTGTTTAATTCTTTCTTTGAAAGCCAAAACAAAAATGTTTTTTTTAAAAATATGTGTATATATTAAAACAATATTCTAATTTGTCATGAGAAGTGTTACCTGTGCATGTTTCCGTCCAGGTGAGGTATTTGACATATCCTACACAGGGGTCATGTCCTAGCCAGGTGTTAGAAGCATGGATTGTACAGGACGTAGGATAGTTACAGTTACTGTTTAATGCATTCTTAGCGTTCCAGGTACAGCTTCCGTAGTAATACGAGGCACTTGTAAATGTCAGGAACCGGTTAGAGGAACACGATCTATAACTCTGACTACCTTCAACTATTGGGTTTGATTCTGTGGAATATTTAAAAAGCGGAACTACGGTTTTTATATGTTAACGATTCAATGTAGTGTGTGGAGACATTGTAACACTTGTATATTTACAAAGGAATTAAGATGTTTCAAATCATAGAAATATAAAGTACTTTTTGATTTAATATCAAATCTGTAAGATCAGAATGCTATAACTTACGTGAAGTGTCTATGAAGATCTGGAGGATGAATATCCAAAGGTAAAGATCTCCTGTTTTGATCATCTCCATTAAGTATGATATTCTAAACGTTCGATCATCTACTTTATATATTTAAAAGACCAATTATCTTTCTTACAATCTTCTATTTCCGAGGCAATCAAGCGATTGTGTTTATCTATTGTTCTGAAAGATCTTAGAGAAAGTATTGAGTACAAAATGAAATTTGATAACTATTTAATTTACAATTAACGGTTGTTAAGAATTACCACTCTATGGAACCAGACCGATTGTAGTTTTCCCAATAAAATATTGTTTTCACTTTTAAAATATCACATTTTATTCGCTCATACAAAAAATATTCATATAGATCTAATATTTTGTTTTTTCTCAGGTTTACTGCTTCACCAAGTAAAAGTCGTTCTAAAAAGTTTCACCCTTTGCGCCTATGACGTGTGAAGAACCTAAATATATAGATGAGTTAGGATATTGGGGTATATGAAATTCAAGGAATTAATAAAATAAAATTCTTTTCAAAATGATAAAAAGATACCCCCATGTTTTGTGATTTGGTGCGATATTTATCAAACTTGTTATCCCTTAACACATACAACTTGTTATAAACTGAAATCAAAAATAGTTGACCATATATGTACGACACACCATCTCTGAAGGATGAAACTTATTGACCAATCAAAACTTATGTACCACTAGAAATCTATTTTTAAACTTTATTTATTCACAGTGTTAGCAATGCTTTTTTGAATTCTATTTAAAGCTGAAGATGACTCGTAAATAGGCATACGCCAAATTAGATTTCACTATATTCGATATCAGCATTGGGGTAATTCCTTCGCATTCGTGACACCTGACTGCGTTATTGTGACGGGTACCAGCGTGGAATGGACGACACGTGTTCGTGCTGCTTATCTTACATTACTTTTATTTACATTTCATAGCAGTTGAAGTGTATTTGTTTGTATACTACACTGACGCGTGCAACAGTTGTAAGTGTTCTTTCCCTCCTGCCGTGGAAGAAGTAAACAGTTATTTTTGTCGCTACCGAGTGTTTTACAATAGCTATGTACCATAGGTGATGACCGATTACACTGAACAGTGACTTAGTGAACGGCCTATATATGGACCCTCAGATATAACGACTGAATAAAAGAATATGGCGGACAAATTCCTTTTACAAATCGTGTTCAGTGACTTAGTGAACGGCCTATATATGGACCCTCAGATATAACGACTGAATAAAAGAATATGGCGGACAAATTCCTTTTACAAATCGTGTTCAGCTTTAGCACAGTGTTATTAAGCAATGCTTACATATTGTTTCGTGTCGCCCGCGTTGCGCTATGATTGGAGCGTTTGCTCTTGAGTCGCAGAGTAGGAAGTTGATCCTTACGTCGCGGGTTCGAATCCCATGTGGGACGTGGAGACCGGTCCTTCGGATGAGACCGTATAAACCGAGGTCCCATGTCGCAGTTGTTACTGGCACGAAAAAGATCCCTCACTGCTCAATGGTCCCGAGTGCCAAGTATAGGTCAAAATTTGTAGCTCTCCACCGCAGGTGGGGGCGTCTCCATATGAGTGAAAAATAAACAACAATAAACAAACAATATTGTTTCGTTCACATATATAAGCTATCATATTGTCACAAAACTACAACTGAATTAATTTTTGTTTCCCACAGGACATCCTGATATATTTTTTTTATTTTCTGTTTATCTAAATCACCATACCTTTGGCTGAGAGAAGAAAAAGACATTTTTGCAAGAATTTTCTCTGTAATGAAGGATATGCAAGGTTATGGACAACATCACTGTTACTTACATATATATTTGCTTTTGAAAGAAAATTTGTACAAATCGAACCGACTCTTGATCTTTAAAATACGTTATTTCAAAGGAGACGTTTTGCCAAATTCCATAAAAGGTTTCAGCAAATGGGCTAGGAGGTCAGAAGTATCCGAATTAATTGATGTCCTTGGACCTAGTCTTTCTGAATGGGTTTGATAGTTTTGGGATTGGAGAAGGGAAGGAATATAGAGAGGGGTTTCATTCTTTAAAATAACAATTTATTTGGCAAAGGGCTAATTACAATTTCTCCTTTTAATGACAATGTTTAGCAAGGTACAGCTTAAACAATTTTTCGAAATATTTCAAATATAATAGAAATGAACAGAACTTAGGAATGTATATTGCTTTATTGCCATAACAACAAATTATAAACAAAACAATCTGGCAATCATTGTATCAAAAATACATGAGTATACAATGTGTTCAAGTTTATGACGACCCGCAACACACACTTATTCATCGTGTAAAAATAGAAATGCCATGAAAGACGGGTTTTCACGGACAATGGCGCAGTCTTTCTTTTCTAAATATGGAAGGCTGTCTGCTATCCTTCCCTTTCAGCAAATATCAAGGCGATTGCACTTAAGGCTACAGAGAAAAAAATAAGCAATGTTAATTACTAAATAAATTGAATATATCAATATCGAAAGTTGTTTTCCTTGTAAAACAATACTTTATTTTATGTATCGTGACGTCAGACATATTATGCATGACCGTCCGAAAGTCAAAAATTTCGTGAGGAAATAAATTTTGAAATAACTTTTAGCAATAAGTAGTACCCGTGAAATAACGTGACAATTTCACGGTGCTAGTCACATGTAAATCTGTAATTTACACACGACACAATTTAATGGTATGCTTACTGTAAGAAAGGAGCAACATATGTGTTTACAGGAAAATATGACGATTGATTCAATATATATATTTACAGGAAAATATGACGATTGATTCAATATATATATATTTACAGGAAAATATGACGATTGATTCAATATATATATTTACAGGAAAATATGACGATTGATTCAACATATATATTTACAGGAAAATATGACGATTGATTCAACACATATATTTACAGGAAAATATGACGATTGATTCAACACATATATTTACAGGAAAATATGACGATTGATTCAACACATATATTTACAGGAAAATATGACGATTGATTCAACACATATATTTACAGGAAAATATGACGATTGATTCAATATATATATTTACAGGAAAATATGACGATTGATTCAACACATATATTTACAGGAAAATATGACGATTGATTCAATATATATATTTACAGGAAAATATGATGATTGATTCAATATATATATTTACAGGAAAATATGACGATTGATTCAATATATATATTTACAGGAAAATATGACGATTGATTCAACACATATATTTACAGGAAAATATGAGGGCTGATCAAAAGTATCGCCACTACTGCTCTTAAATCTTGACAATTAAACATTATGAAATCAACATCAAAGGACCTTTCTTCAATATCTATTCCTGTAAAATATATAAAATCCCCAATGTATACGTACGTTTGAGTGATTTTCTGTTATCTGATGTCTACTGCTTTAGATAGCACCAACTGGAGATCGACTTTGGACAACTGGAAGTTCTAAGAAACAGAGAAATATTGTAATGATTTAAGCATGTCTATATGCATACATTCAACAGATGATCGACACAGTTAAATAGGTTCACATGTACCAGTAAATTTTTGTTTGAACTGTTCTTATTTCTTGATTGGTTTACCTTTACTTCTTGATTCACATGTACTAATTACTTTAACCTAGATTTACCTGCACTAATTTCATCACTGTCGGGAAATCTTCGTTGATAATTTCATCCCTGATAATCCTAAATAACATGGAAAATCATGTACAACCAATTATTTTTCGATTATTTATATCAAGAAGTATAGATTTTGCATTTGAGGTTCGTTAGTATAAGTATTAATACATTTTCAATTATATTTCTAGAGGACAGACATTTTTCCACGATCAGTGTGAAGAACACAGGGCTGCGGGTTATTCAAAATTTTGTCAATCCAGAAAAAAAAGTTTTTTAAAAAGTACAAAAAATCATATTTGTTTTAATACTAGTATTCGTAAATTTTGTAAAAGAAATGTTGAAGAGGTAACCAATAAAAAGCGCATATCAGTTTTTTCTAATCAGATATGAGTTCATTTGCAGAAGCTTTTTGGTCAAGATGTTCATCAGGGCAGGTCTTAGAAAATTTGAAACAAGGCCCAGGTAAGTCTTAGCACACAATCTAAAACACAGAATTCTTTTAATACTAATTGTTAGGCAATTATTTATACACTGAACTGTCTACGGATTTTTACGGTTTTTGTTTCCCGATCATGACAAGGAGCACACGGCGGGTGTGACCGGTCGGCAGGGGATGCTCACTCCTCCATGGCACCTGATCACACCTCTAAATTTTGAGGTCCGTGTTTGCTCTGCTCCAAATTTGTATCGTTTCATTGGACTTTCGAGATTGAATACTGTTCTTTATCTTCATATTTCAATTTAATACCTGCAATGCTTTCAAATCAATTTATTTATTTTTTGTCTAGATATATTCAGGTATTAGAGTTTCTGTAAAATGGATTTCTTACATAAGCATGGCACAGCATATACAGATAAGGAAATTGAATCTGTTTTCATCAGCAAACAAGGAATCCCATATACGTAGTACATCTAGAAAATAATATAAACATATATTTTTTCATGGTATAATGTAGTGATATATGCATATACTGTATGTGGTTGCACAATTACGATCTCTACTGAAATGAGTACGCGTATACTCTACATGCAGTAAAAACTGCTTATAAGGAAGTCATTGGGGGACTTTGCTTTCATTCTTTAATCTAACCTTCCTTATATCCAAATAAAACGATGATAATATTAAACTGGACAAAAAATGTTTTCACTTCTTTATAACCAATATTTCTTCATAAGGTTCTTTGTAAGCATTTTTACTGTACATGATAAATACAACATTAATGTGTGTAATTTTAAATAAAGTGTTAATACCTGGTAAGACATACAGACAGGTGTTAATATCTGGTAAGACATAGACAGGTGTTAATACCTGGTAAGACATAGACAGGTGTTAATACCTGGTAAGACATATAGACAGGTGTTAATACCTGGTAAGACATATAGACAGGTGTTAATATCTGGTAAGACATAGACAGGTGTTAATACCTGCTAAGACATATAGACAGGTGTTAATATCTGGTAAGACATATAGACAGGTGTTAATACCTGCTAAGACATATAGACAGGTGTTAATACCTGCTAAGACATATAGACAGGTGTTTATACCTGATAAGATATAGAGACAGGTGTTAATATCTGGTAAGATATAGACAGGTGTTTATACCTGGTAAGACATATAGACAGGTGTTAATATCTGGTAAGACATATAGACAGGTGTTAATACCCGGTAAGACATATAGACAGGTGTTTATACACGGTAAGACATATAGACAGGTGTTTATATCTGGTAATACATAGATAGGTGTTAATACCTGGTAAGACATATAGACAGCTGTTAATATCTGGTAAGATATATAGACAGGTGTTAATATCTGGTAAGACTTATAGACAGGTGTTAATACCCAATAAGACATAGACAGGTGTTAATACCTATTAAGACATAGACAGGTGTTAATACCTGGTAAGACATAAAGACAGGTGTTAATACCTGGTAAGACATATACACAGGTGTTAACACCTGGTAAGACAAAGAGACAGGTGTTAATACCTGTTAAGACATATAGACAAGTGTTAATACCCTTTAAGACATAGACAGGTGTTAATATCTGGTAAGACATAGACAGGTGTTAATACCTGGTAAGACATATAGACAGGTGTTAATACCTCGTTAGACCTAGAGACAGGTGTTAATACCTGGTGAGACAAAGACACAGGTGTTAATATCTGGTTAGACATAAAGACAGGTGTTAATAGCTGGTGAGACATAGACAGGTGTTAATACCTGGTAAGACACAGACAGGTGTTAATACCTGGTAAGACATAAAGACAGGTGTTAATACCTGGTAAGACATAGACAGGTGTTAATATCTGGTAAGACATATAGACAGGTGTTAATATCTGGTAAGACATACAGACAGGTGTAAATACCTGGTAAGACATAGACAGGTGTTAATATCTGGTAAGAAATATAGACAGGTGTTAATACTTGGTAAGACAAAGAGACCGGTGTTAAAACCTGTTAAGACATATAGACAAGTGTGAATACCCTTTAAGACATAGACAGGTGTTAATATCTGGTAAGACAAAGAGACAGGTGTTAATACCTGGTAAGACATATAGACAGGTGTTAATACCTCGTTAGACATATAGACAGGTGTTAATACCTCGTTAGACATATAGACAGGTGTTAATACCTGGTAAGACAAAGAGACAGGTGTTAATATCTGGTAAGACATAAAGACAGGTGTTAATAGCTGGTAAGACATAGACAGGTGCTAATACCTGGTAAGACATAGACATGTGTTAATACCTGCTAAGACATATAGACAGGTGTTAATATCTCGTAAGACATAGACAGGTGTTAATACCTGGTAAGACATAGAGACAGGTGTTAATACCTGGCAAGACATATAGACAGGTGTTAATACCTGGTAAGACATATAGACAGGCATAAATACCTGGTAAGACATATAGACAGGTGTTAATACCTGGTAAGACATAGGTAGGTGTTAATATCTGGTAAGACATAGACAGGTGTTAATATCTGGTAAGACATAGGGAGGTGTTAATATCTGGTAAGACATATAGACAGGTGTTAATACATGGTAAAACATATAGACATGTGTTAATACCTGGTAAGACATATAGACAGGTGTTAATACCTGGTAAAGGGAACTCCTGAGACAAGAGGAGTGTCAACCATCGGAAGGCATAGTACTGTGGCTTAAGATCTAGTTCCTGTATTCTGTTATACAGAAATTCGTCTTTGTCCTTCAGTTTCTTAGAAAACTTTGCCATCATACTGCCTACAGAAACATCAATATAAAATCAGAAGGCATTAAAAATGACTAAAGATTCAAGGAGTAGATGGAGAATGATATTTAAATAAACCGCGTGTTGACTAGTCTTCTTCAATGTAACAAAACAATATAAAAGGATTGATTGATTGATTGTATGTTGTTTTACGTCCCATTCGAGATTTTTTCACTCATATAGAGACATCCCCATATACCAGTTAAGGGCTTCAAATTTTGACCTTTACTCGGCACTCAGGGCCATTGAGCAGTGAGGGATCTTTATCGTGCCAACTCCTGTCGTGACACGGGGCCTCGGTTGTTAAGGTCTCATCCAAAGGACCCACAACTTTCACTTCAAAGTGCCGAGCGCATGGCGAAGGAACAGTTGCTACCCATTTTTTATCGACTATGGTCAGTCTCGGCCGAGATTCGAACTCACGACCTCCCGATCACGGAGCGAGCGCTCTACCAACTGAGCTACCGTGAATGGTCAATATAAAAAGAACTTTGAGAACTAAATCAAGTTCATTTTTTATATTTAAAAGTGAAGGTCATGGACATTGCAACTTTAAAGCTAAAACATTTGTCAGACCCAACATTTTGAAGCCACAATGGCGATACTTTCCATGAAATACTTTAGTGCTATGTGTATCTCATTTAGCTGGTACAGATAAATATACAGGGTTGGTTCCTGTTTCATTGGTTCAGTATCACTTCTTTCATTTTCAAATATATTCCATGACTTAATCGATGTAAATCTTTCTAGTTTTGATTTTAAGTTCTTTTTGACTGGAATCAACGAGAGCAATATCATCTCATCGTAAATATACAGTAAAATCTGAGCTAGTTTCTTTTTCATGATCAATGCTGAAAAAAAAACAAAACGTTGGCTTTAAGTATGTTAAATTAATTTTCTATTCATTTTTCATGGGCCTTTTTTTGTTTTTATAAATCATGATGATGTAATAAAATAACGCTGAATGTTGCAATAATCAAATGTAAAATAATTTTTATCTTGCATATTTTTTATCATCAAATAAGTGAATTTCAAGACAATATTAAACTAAAGGTAAGTCAATGTAAAATGACATGCACTTTATAGGTTCAGTTCTATTAGATTTCATTTTTGTGTTTTCTCATATGTGCAAGCCTTCTACTTAATCATACCAAAATTTAAGATAACTTGAATTTACTTTCCTAAATGCATGATCACTCCTACTTAATTTATCTTATTTTCACTGTGCAATTCAATGAATTTGATTGGTTTGCTTGATATCACGTGCAAATTTATATTTTACCTAATTTACTTGTTAGTAAAAATAACATCGGGAAAACCCAAAGATGTGGTGAAAGTCTTTAAATTCTAACATATTGAATTCGTTTGTCTCTTCTTTTTTTGTTCCAAAGAAACCTTATATAACAAACGTACATGTAGCCCTTTGATTCGGTCAATCCATAGATATATCGACTTTGTACTCAGTCGATATGTTTTTCTGTGAAGTCGATATATATCTATGGATCGATCTCATAACAGGACTATATTTGTAAAACATTCTTCCAAAAAATGACTTAGCCTCTTAGAAATATGGCACATTTGACGGTATAGAATTAAAAAAAAACAAAAAAAACAGATCTACAAATGTGTATGTCGGGGGGGGGGGGGGGACCTTAAATTTCATGATAAAGCACACTTTTTGTGTATGACATTATTTTTTACAGCTATTTATTCGGGAGGAGGGGGTTTGGCTATACAAAAAGTACATACATATACATCTTTTTTCAGTTTACAATATATAGTACATGTATAGTGATCCATTTTTTGCCCTTAAACAGAAATTTAAATGAGTCAGTTTCATAACTGTCCCTCATAAAATTTGAATGAACAAGTATCCACCATTCCCCTGGGATAGTTTCACTTAATCTGCAATAAAAGCTTGATACTACAGATGCTATATGGTCAATATATTACAACAACTCAAATGGCACGCGTCAACTCAAGTATGTAAAACCCAGCAATAATGAACGGCTACAAATATCCAGTAAACAATTGACTATAACATGCATTCTAGTTTATGTACAGATTTTTTTCAAAAAATATAAATACTTCTAACTTACCAATACCACATTCCGCGTCGAGATCTAGTGTCTTGATGAAAATATCTCGAATTTCTGCCATTAGATTTGTAAAGCAGAAAAATGAATCAGCTTCCGCAAATTCTGAAGAAAAAAAAGAGTGACCTGTGCGTAAGCATCGTCTGAAAATATCATGTTTAAATGTGTCCATTGATGATACATGTACTTATTAAACAATTGTCTTCACCAATTTTCTTGTGAATATCTTTAATAAGGATTGGAAAGAAATGTTCTACAATAGTACAGAAATCAGTAAGTCAGTTCAGTGAGCTTGCAATTAAGAAGTGTAATATTTCACCCCATTACAAGCAAATGTAATTGTCAGATATACTAAAAACAAAAATATAAATTTTACCTTTCATAAAGCTAGCTCAAGTGTACAGAGTCAATAAAACTGATGTTGCAACTAAACACGGTTTGTATTTGGAAAACTGAAATTTCTTTATTTCGAAAAAAAATTATTTTGTTAATTAAAGTGATAATGGTACATTAATTTCAGATAGGACTCCCGTCTTGAATAATTGCCGACGTTAGTGATTGAGATTCTATAGTTTTGTTTTTATAAAAATATGTATGCATAAATAATGAATCTACACATGTCTAAAAGCCTAAAATAAGAGGTTTTTAAGGAATAACATAGATTGATTTTTCAGCATTTCTTTTTCTCTATTTTCACTTACCTTTCCATTCGCTCCTTGGATCGGAAGCGAATGTGTAATAAATGGGTCCTAAAATCTCATTCATACCCTGAAAAAAAGTCAACATATCAACATAAATCAAAGTACTAAAGGTACTCCTGGAGACTGACAGGGGTGTGCAATTAAAAAAATCAAGTACTAGCCCACGGGCTAGTGGCAACAATAAAGTTACTAGCCCCAAGTAGAAAGTTACTAGCCCACTGGAAATATATTTTACGTAAATCACATAACACTTATCTTTCAGTTGATTGAGTGATTGTAAATATTTTAATGAGATAGCTGCCTTTATTTACCATAAACACATGAATGGAGGAAATTCGGATTAGGAAAAAAACGATCGTTTTTGGAAGTAAATAAGTCAGGAAGTGCTGCAAAATGGATAAGATTTTGGAAATTTACCAACAATTGGAGCATGCTGCCTGATAACTTTTCATTGGTTTGGAATTTAATAGCAAAAAATGAGTGAAAATTCCAGTAGTGGTTTTCTTATATTACATAGGTATTTTCAATTTTTACTAGCCCAAAGGGCTACCTGCACGCAGAAAACCACTAGTCCGACCCCCAAAAATGGTAGCCCCGGGCGTCGGGCGATGCTAATTGCACACCCCTGCGGACTGAACTATGAAGATTTCTGCATCAGACTTTCATTCACATTAGTTACCGCTCAGTAAAATCATTTAGTGGTATAAGAGTAGAAATGAGTTTCTTCCATAAAAATTTAATTTTTTCAGCAGAATATACCAAACTTAAAAGGAAATAATGACTATTATAATAATGATAATTATCATTATAACTATGATAATGATGGGTGTTTGTTTGTTTTTTTTGTTTTTTTTTTGTTTGCTCTTGTTTGTTTGTTTGTTTTTTTTGTTGTTGTTGTTGTTTTTTTTTTGTAGGACAATCTACTAGCATGAGAATTATATTTCAGTTATATCTTAAAACAGTAATTTTAAAAAAAAAGATAAAGATCTGAAAACACTTTTTTTTTAAAGATAAAGATGGAATTGTAGATTCTCGTGTTAAGTCATAGCACACCTGCACATATCCCTGCCCCGGGTTAAGTTTAGCGTATATAAAGAGTATCCTCTCTACAACCTCCCAATGTGCCTCCTGTCCGTCAGGTAAAACCATGTACTCCTCACTTGTCTTCCTTCTCGTCGCTATCATCTAAAATAAAACAGTGCAGTACGATGACGTGAATTTAATTTGTGAGTATTGAATAAAGACTGCTAAATAGAACCCACTGATGGTACTGCATTTATGTCGACATGTGTTATCTCTGTGACCATGTAAATTCTTCAGAAATACATAACATACATTACGATCTCTATATACATTTTAAGTCTTAGATACTTGTGTTGGGGTTTGATACGTACATTAGACTTGCCGAACCTGTCCACCTGCAGACTCTCTGATTGGAGGACACAATGTTCCACCCTCTTCCTGAGAGTCTCGACCCGAGAGTCTGCGTGAATGATCTCCTTACAAGGAAAATCTGTGGCCTTTTGGAAGAAAAACAGATCCGGACACAGCCGACTGTAAAATAAAAACAGATTTGGTTTAGCCGACTGTAAAATAAAAACAGATCCGGACTAGCCAACTGTAAAATAAAAAGATCTGGACAAGCCTACTGTAAAATTAAATCAGATCCCGAGATACATACTCAATAAAGTGTCAATTCTCCAGGACTACTTTTCCTACGAATAATGATATGGAATTCTAGCGCAACGTAATACTGAGCTGTCTGGAGCTTGCCGGTAAAATTAAAAACAAATCCGGACATGGTCGACAGTAAAATTTAAAAAAAAACAAAAAAAACGGACACAGCCGACTGTAAAATAAGCACGATTTTGTAAAACTCACATCTAGCTCTCCGGCTGAAGGTGCTACGTAAAGTAAAATCACGGGTATAATCTTATTCAATGTATATTGTACAACCTTCCAGGTGATTTTTTTTTTTCTTTTGAATCTTTTCATTTTCAACATAACTTAAAAATATAAAAAATATATTTATCAGACAACAAATATGACATATTTTGGTTTTCGTTTGAAAATAGCTAAGCAGGTTGGTTTTGGAAATCTGAAAGTCATATGCAGTTTCCTCATCCGACAGACGAATCATTGGTCAAACTAAACAACATCCTCTACTATTGTGAAGAAGTCAAGGAAATTAACCTCGGATGTGACAATTTATGAAAACATATTGCATTTATATTCCAGAAATAAAAGTCGATTTTTCTGCATATAATAAATAACACTCTATACAAGAAGTACAACTAAAATAACTTTTATCCCACTTTAAAGGAAGATGGGCGAACCAAATGGGCGAACAAAATGCCTATTGTGCCACAAATAATAAAGTGAAAAATTAAGTCTCAATTATGACAATATTTTCTTTGATATTTCATTTAACATTAACGTATACTTTGTGATAAATCTCTACAAATCGCAACAATCTCAAATTATTCGTCAATAAAATAGAAAACTTACATCAAAGAAGGCAAAAAAGATCAATTCTTCATAATAATACACATTTTTTTTCCATGTGAGTTGGTCTTCGTTCAATGTTTGTTTGTTTTTGTTCATTTTTTTCTTTTTTTTTTTTTTTGTTTTAAAGGTTTTACTTTAAGTATGCGTTAAATATGCATTCTTCAGTTAACAAAAACAATGGAGCAAAAAATCCACTATACCTTAAAAATACACTTTTATAACACAACATTCGTATCTATCCGAGAAATATTTGAAGTCAATTAAGTCAAGGGTTATATCACAAACATGACTTAAATGCCGCTTTTTGTTAAGAGCGGTATAGCGTAGTGGTTAGCGTGTTAGTTTCGAAAAGAAAAATGATAAAATTAAATCAGCATTTTTATTGCTTGAATTCGAACCCCAAGAACACCACTTTTTTGCCGAAAAGTTTTGTTTGTTATAATTTCATACCTTTTAATTATAAGAACTTTAAATACTAAATTCACAAATTGATTATGACTTCAAAACTTTTGAAGCTATAAACACTTTGCACGCCCTGTTCGCCCATCTCCTTACCAAGCATACTAATTTTCACGAATTCGAAACAAATTCCTTGAAGTCAGTGTAAATTACCCAGTATTATTAAAGCTGTCATGATATATTATATATGGGGTCACCGGAACGTGCTTATATTATCAAAGAAGGCTCCCGGGGGCAAAGAAATCATTATTCAGTCGAACTATATTAATGAGAGTATTTTTTGACTGTTTGGGAAAATCGATATAGATCAATTAATTCAGAATCCAGTAAACATTCACTGAATTAGGATCAGAGCAATTGAACAGCCTGTTCACAGATACGGATAATCTCGATGATTATGAATTAATTATTATGGAGTCAAGATTTATTGATAATTCTAGGAGTATTGTCATGGGATGTAACTAAAAGGATTTGGTGTTCATTTTAACATTTCAAGGCTTGGGTGCTCTCCTCTGACCATGGTTTTACTTCGACTTTTACCTCTTCTAATTTTGAACCTCATAAACGTAAAATTGGTTATTGGTAATGATAATTATATCATTACAAAGAGTCTCTATGATCAGCTTTTTAGTGGAAATTACAGTTCGGATATTCTCCCAATCTGTGATAAGAGTGAAACTGTGAATATAACCATAAGCACAGCTCTACGTGAAGTAGTCGAAATCAATGAAAAATTCCAAACGTTGAAGTTGAAAATCTGGGTTCGTTTGAATTGGATGGATTGCAACCTTAAATGGAATTCCTCCCTTTTTCACGATGCTGACCTTATTTACGTTCCTTATGAAAAGATCTGGATTCCGGACATCACTCTGTACGAAGGAACCAGCGAGTTTGGAAGTATGCCACAGATCGAAGACTACAGAGCTGCTATTTCGTCTGATGGACATGTTCAATATAATTTTCCGTCGACCGTCACCACAGCGTGCTCCATCGATGTCACCTATTTTCCTTTTGATATTCAAAGATGCAGTTTGACCTTTGGATCGTGGATTTATTCCGGGAATCACTTGGGTGTTTATCGTTCTTCATCCTCTGCAGACACGTCTGCTTTTCTGAACCACAATGAATGGCGACTTGTCTCGATGGAGTCCAATCGAGTGGTGAGATACTATAACTGCTGCACTTATCCTTTCTCAAAGGTGTCCTTTCAGTTGGTGCTCAAGCGAGAACCCAAGTTTTACATTATCACTATCATTTTTCCGTGCATACTCGTCACTAGCTTGGCCTTCATCGGCTTCTGTCTCCCGCCATCTTGCAGCGAGAAGATTTCGTTACAGATCACAGTTCTTCTCTCCATCACGGTCTTTCTGCTCCTTATTCAGGACAAGCTTCCGTCCTCATCAGACACATTTCCGGTAGTCGCCTACTTCTTCACTGCCTCCATGATACTTGTTTGTGTTGCTTGCATCATGGCAGGAATAGTTCTTTTCACCTACTACAGAAGACTGTCAGGAAAGCCAGTTCCAAAAATTCTTCGAAATATCTTCCTGAACCTCCTCTCTGATGTTTTCTGTGTAAATTATGAAGAATGTGTCTCAAAAGACATCAACATGTCTGCCGTGTTTGGTGAGGTAAAGGAAAGAAGAATGTCTAGTGTGTATCTTAAGGATGCATTGAGGCGAAGAGATTCCTTTGCAAGCCGAAAAATTCAGAAACAGGTGCCTGAAGACATACCAGAGGAAGGCAGTGTTTTGTCAATCCCTCTTTCTGTAAAGAACAGTGACAATGGGCATATCTCAAGAAGAGAATCCCTTTCAAGTGTTTTTGTTGAGTCTGAGAAGACAGCAGACAAAAGTCAAGACAATCCGAATGATTTGGAAAAAGTTATCCATGAATGGGTCCACTTAGCTCATGTTGTCGATAGATTCTGTCTGGCATGTTACACTATGATTTACCTAACAGTGGCAGTCATCTTTATCATTTTGTTCAGCTAAGAATCTAACAGTGGTGGTCACCTTTATCATTTTGTAAAGCTAAGGATCTAACAGTTTGTTTCACTTTTATGGTTTTGTTCAGCTAAGGTACATGCATACAAATGTGTAACCACATTGTTTATAATGCCATTAAAATGTATAAAGGAAATTTCTACTTGTACAATTGAAAGACTGTGTTCAAATTAATTTTTAATTGGTTTCCTTTAGTAATAGAACATGCATCTTTCAAAGTCTCATGGTGGATGATATAAAATTTTAATAGAAACTACTGTTCTTCAGTGAATGAGATCTTTCTTTATGGTATGAAAAAATGTAGTTCCATTACATTAAAACAGCTGTTACTACTATTACTTAATATTTCATTTCTTTCAAGGCATATCTTTAGTGGTGTTACAAGATACATAAAATTTCCTAAATGATTGATGATTTTGACCCTCACTTACCGGCAGTCCTTATGGATCTGTAGTAACATGTCATTGTCTTTGAAGATGGATGATTTTGACCCTCACTTACCGGCAGTCCTTGTCGATCTGTAGTAACATGTCATTGTCTTTGAAGATGGATGATTTTGACCCTCACTTACCGGCAGTCCTTGTCAATCTGTAGTAACGTGTCATTATCTTTGAAGATGGATGATTTTGACCCTCACTTATCGGCAGTCCTTGTCGATCTGTAGTAACGTGTCATTGTCCTTGAAGATTGATGATTTTGACCCTCGCTTACCGGCAGTCCTTATGGATCTGTAGTAACGTGTCATTGTCTTTGAAGATTGATGATTTTGACCCTCACTTATCGGCAGTCCTTGTCGATCTGTAGTAACGTGTCATTGTCTTTGAAGATGGATGATTTTGACCCTCACTTACCGGCAGTCCTTGTCGATCTGTAGTAACGTGTCATTGTCTTTGAAGATGGATGATTTTGACCCTCACTTACCGGCAGTCCTTGTCGATCTGTAGTAACATGTCATTGTCTTTGAAGATGGATGATTTTGACCATCACTTACCGGCAGTCCTTGTCGATCTGTAGTAACATGTCATTGTCTTTGAAGAATGCTCCCCAGTTACTGTCTGGATTGGGGTTTAATGGCTGAAGAGAGAGGGAACAAAAAATATACTCAACAAGAGTAAACAACAACCAAAGAATCTGTGTTAAATAGAAAGTAACCTGATAAATATCATACAGCACCAAATACTTCATGGGCAGAGTGAAAACCCTGGTATTCAAACAAATAAGTTTTATGTTATTCAGTGGACTGATACTTAGATCTATACTTACATGTAAATCCTTCACTGACCATGGATAAAGTTAAAATCATGTGAATTGTGTAATATACATGTAGTATCATAATTAAATCCATACATACAAATGGCAACCAAAAGCCACAATTTGTGAAATGGTACATTTATACTAAATGTGTTAAGAACGGTAACTAGCATTTAAAAAATTATCTCCCTTTGTTTGTGCCTTCTCAAAAGCCATTCATTGTGCTAAATTTATCCATCAAAAAACTGATGACTTATCTATACTACTTTTCATATGATTCTATACACTAATTTTCATATTCATGTTACAATGGAACAAATTTAACATACTTAACCATACAAACAAAAAAACCACAGCATTACCTATAGATAATATTAATTTAAAAAGTTTTACTTTTATACTGGCTTAAGGTAGTCCACTCCTCAATTTCTGAAAATCAGCAATTAAGTCATTGAAAATGCTCATAAAAATGTCACTGAATTCACAAAGTAATGTGAATATACCCATGTCATTTCTTCAAAGTTCATTAATATAGCTAATCAAATGATCATTTCTCAATATTTGAATAAAAAAATCAAGTAGGCATATTATAATTAAAAATTGATCAGTAAATATATTATAGGATTTTAAAAAAAACTATAGATATCCAGGCAATAATTTGGAAAAAATGCATGCTTTTCTTACCTAAGCATTTAGATACTTCTTCTTTTAACTTCAATTATTATGTAATACATAAAGTAAAAAACATGAAACATCCTTGCAAGATATCACCGATCACATCCAATTTCATTTTATTATAATAAACAATGTTATCTAAGGCAAGATTAAAGGAAATTCAATTTCTCTAGAAATGTTTTTTTTTTTTTTTTTTTTTTTTTTTTTTTTTTTTTTTTTTTTTTTTTGTACTTTAAAGGGGTGCAAATGTCTATTTTTTAAAGACAATTTCTGAGCTTTAAAGAACCTTGAATCATATTAAGATGCATGATATGAAAATTGTTGCATAGAAAATTTCAATTTCAAACTTCATTTTGAGACTTGTGGACTTAAAAATTTCAAGAGTTATTGTTCCTGGTTGAGGAGCGGACATCCTTAAGATATCTGCAGTGCAGGAAAAAAATTAAAATAGAAGCTTCCTCAATGCAGGAGCAAGGGACATATAGCTATAGTTACCTGTAGGAAGTGGATTTAAAAAAAAAAATTTGAGTACTAACAGTATTTGTAATGTGAATTCTTTGAAAATGTCCCTCTTTCTAGACCAACAATAAAATTCTGGACCTTCTGGAAACTTACATGGTCATCTATCTGAGATCCTGCTGAGGCCTTTGTCCCTGGCTCTACTATCATCTCATCCACAAAGTGGCCATACAGCTTCCTGGTTCAGAACAATATCAACTTATAAGAACACTTGTACATAATCAAGTATAACTATTTTAAAACCAGAGTAATAGTTACATTTAATACTAGTTATTCTACATAAAACATTATATTAAAATAAGTGATAAACATGATACATATAAGGAAATAAATTAATAAATCTATATAGGCAGATTTATGAGATTTGAGGAGATGATAACGGTTAAACCTTTGTTTTTGAAGAATTTCCTTCCACTGTGATACATCTAAGGGCAAATAGTTCAGTAAAATCTGTAATCAAATCATAGGAACATTGCAGGATTATTATTGAAAAAAAAATAGTGCATAAATATGAAAACATCAAAAGAACCACCTAAAAAATTGGTATATATATATATACATATATATATTAATATGATGATTATGAAGATTAGATAGGCTAAATTGTAGTCTCGTTTCCAAAAGATAAACAGAGAAACCAGGAACTTGTTTTAATCTGTCAGCTACTTTAAGCCTCTTATAAATCATCACAAGGTCAATGATGCCTTGATTATTTTGTCAAATTACAGAACATGTTTTTAAGAAAATCTACTTACTTTCCAACATGTTGATCGGTATCCATGTTCGTAAGGACAACCTAAAATTGAAATCAGATCATAACTTCATATATGTTTTTAATTTATTCATCAAAATTACATTTATGCCAGATGTTATAAATCTAGGTGATACAAACACATACTTTAAAAATTGCTAGGTTTCCTCATATAGTATGAAATAGAATAATGATAATTCTTTATTAATCTATTCAAAATAAATTAAAATATAATTTATGGCACTTATAAAAAAGTCCAGCTAATTTTGTAACATGATCATAGGGCCCCAATTGTCTGAATTTGACAATGGCCAGCAACTGACCCCACTCATTCTTAACACATGTTACAGGAAGTGAGAAAATGTGGGTCAGACCAGAATTTAAACCCTGGACCCCTGATCTCTAGACAGGTGCTCCACCAAGCTATCTGACCAATAAATGATCGAACCTGCCTTCATGTCACATTCCTCCCTCCTAAAATGTTGTATTATGCATTGTAAACATATTGACTTGTTGTTTTCCAACAAAGAGACCCTGAATGTAGTAAAAACAAGTATGCTGCAATTCCACCACAGGTAAAATGACTCATGATATCAATGTTCTTACGATTTCCACATTCTAAATAACTTTCTTCTCTATGTGTAACAACTACTTATTAGGTACTGCTCGATCTCAGTGTACTACCATACTCTTAGTAATAGTCATACACGTTGTAAACATGCAACTTAAAATATTCAATAACCTGGTAACCAGCTGGTAACTGTTCATCGTGTTTTTAATGATTTAATAACACGTGTTAACACGTGTTTATATCTAGACCTATATAAGTGCAATTTTAGTTTATACTTCTGAAATTCGAATAACAAGTCTTAAATATAGATCTATTATGTTATTACTTTATTACATTGTGTGACTTTTTTTTTTAAAAAAAACTCTTACCATTGAAACACAACTTCCTCAAAGTTTTTAAGTCGATCTTCTCATTGTTTAAAGTATCTTCAAATGCTTTTAATCTGAAAAAAGCATAATATAAATATTCATTCTAGCAAAAAAGAATTACCATACATTATAAAGAGAGAACAGAAAATAAAATGGGCGTTAAATGTCAACAAACCTGGCCTTGTATGCGGCCATGTTGTTTGTTTATCATCTCTGCGCAAACTCAGAACTTTCTTCCTCCACGTGCTTTTCTTAAAATAACTTTGAAATGATAACAACATATTTCCTAGTTATTGAATTCTTTTATTTTTTAATGTCATGTTTGCTTCAAATGTAGGAAGAAAATAAAAATATGCTTTTGTTTGATTGTTTTTTTTTTTTTGGGGGGGGGGGGGGGGAGGAGGATTTTAATTTTGTTTATTTGTTGTTGTTTTTTATTCGGGGGTGGGGGGTGAAATATATTTTTTATATAAAATCCAAACGTCCCTTTTTCACAGTTCTGGATCTTCTACTCTGTTTATCAAGCTATGCAGCTTTTAGTAGGATAAATAGCCTATCAATCAGCATTATCAGAGTTAAAAGTCTTGCTACACTGTTAAAAAGTAACTGGTTAAATTAAAACTGGGCAATATTTTCTAAAACGCCTAAGCGTAAATCTACAACCTCTACATCGATTTTCCATTTTAAGGAAAAAATTCAATGTAAATCCTTAGTACAGTGTGGTATATGTAAATTGCCGAAAATGAAAACTAGAATTTAAAAAAAAAAAGAGCAGATTCAGGGGGAAAACTTTTACTCAAAACATTCGCTAATCAAGCAAGGGAAAGAAGATCTGGATAGATTATTTTTTTCAATGGTAAACTGATTTTAATTTCCCTTCCCATGAGGAAATATCTATGCCTTCGTCGACCTGAATGTAGACCCAGTTTACTGTGGGTTACGTTAGTGCTTTCAGCTGACCTTAATTTGCTGATTTCTTCAGATAAACAAGAAATTAAATCGAATTTAATTTGATAAATTATCCACTATGTTATCTTGGCATTGTTTAATTACATTAACAGTAATACTACAAATTCTGTTACATGGACACAGAGGCATGTTATACCTGACCATCCAGTATTCAATGCACATTCATCAAGTAAAATTATAGGGATCAGAGCTACCCAAATGACTATTCAGAACATTGAATTATCAGTAACCTTGGCGACACTGTTTGTTGTTGCCCTACCAATTTTTAATTTTATTAGGCTTCAGGGAAGCAATTTCATCTTTCTTTTTTTGGAGGGGTGGGAGGGGGGGGGGCATAACCGAATAAAAATTCCTTGACTACCAATAAAATCATCAGACATTTAGAGTTATCAATGGTAAATTAGCTTTGTTTTCTATTACAAACCATTGGAAAAAAATTATTTTGGGACAAGCCCCCACCCCGGTTGCTCATGGGCGGATGGATCTAGAAGGTCGGGGGGGGGGGGGTCAGCCACATGGAACCTTTAAAGACAGTATGGAGAGTAATCTATTAAAACTGAGAAAATGGACGCTGGAAAGTCGTCTATAAAATGGAAACCGTCAAGATTCACCATAAATCATATAACTTTGAGTACTACTTTTCAAATTCAATACATGTTTCAGAAAACGTAAATGTACTTGCTCAAAAATAAAGATTTTCAAAACCCCAAATTTCACAACCATAACAATACTGTAGAACTTCTTCATCAAATAGATCCAATTGTCATTCTAAGATTAAATTGTATAATTTTACGCATCTCATCACGCATTGCCTTTTGTGTTTGTTTGTTTGTTTGTTTTTGTTTTTTTGCTTTACATAATGAGCCTGTTTGTGAGAATACAATACCCAAATAATTTCATTCCTTGAAAACTTCTATGGCATTGCAATTATATGGAAAAAAAATTGATTTTGACACATAATTTCCAGATTTCACATTATTCGTAAAATTCATTTACTGTAGTTTCCGCAAGAATTAAAGTATTGTTGGCATAAAATAAGATGAACAATTTTATATACAAAAAACACCTCATCCTCTACATCTCTGTTAGTACTATAGACAAACCAACTATATTCTTTTTATCAAAAAATCTTCTAATTCATTAATGTCTACAATGAAAATAAGAATGGTGATAAGTTTTCACCTGATCGTCATAATTGCACATTTGATTAATAACTTAACATTCAAGTGATATAGTAATTTAGTATTAAAATAACTAAATCACTTAATGTATCTATGGCACACAGAGGTACAAGTTTGTGAAATTAAGAATCAAGAGGATACTGTGGGGATATCGTCTTACTTATGTTGTATACCGGTATATTAACTTTGACCATTCACACTCAAACATACGCAGAATGGAAGGTAACCAGAAAAAAAACTGCTTATACAATTTTAGAGCCTGACAGTAAAATCTATAATTGTTCCATTTTACTGTTCACTTTAAACGAGGCAGACTACTGACTAATAAGTTGATGACACAAGGGCATCTACATACCTTTTAAAGTCAACATTTTTATGATCGATACAGTGACATTGTTTCCAAATACAATCTTTCGTCAGGTCGAATGGTGTCTGACGTCTTTCAAACAATTGTTAGGCCATTATTTTCATACTGTATATTGATTACGGATTTCTCCTATTACAGGTTAACGGTGTGTGTGTTGTGTGTGTTCTATCAACAGGGGATGCTTACTTTTCCATGGCACCAGATCCCTTCTCTGATTTTTTTCCCCAGAGATCCATGTTTGCTCTGCTCGGACTGTTTCATTGGAGCATCTAGGTTACCAAAAAAAAAAGCCAGATAAATGGAATTATGAACACTTGTATAGTCTACTTATATACAAAATTATGATCATTATATTTTCATTAACCATTCCAACTATATATACTCGTCATTTTTTTTTTTTAAAAAAAAGATACATAGAGTTGTGTATCTGTGTGTATATTAAATCTGTGTAACAAGCTTGTTGAACTTGGACAAATCCTGCAAGAGAAGTAGCTTCCTGAAAGAATTTTAAAGAAATTTCTTTTCTGCAGTAACCATGGCAGCAACGTTCATTGAAATCAAAAAGTGACATACAGAATTATGTTTCTTGGTGTTCCAAGATTTATTGAAATAGACATATAATTAAATTGTGGTTTCTTCTGGGTATAAACAATGACAACAAACAAAAGATTATTCGAAATACCGCATGGCAAATGTATGAGTCTCGATCTTGACAACAAATGAAAGAATCAGACGGGCAACAACTAAACATTTTAAACTTCGACCCCGATCGCCAGTAATCGTTTGTCTTGAAAATTTTAGGTCATTGTCCAGTTTTATTACTAATAAATTCCATTCCACAATTTCGTCGCTGGCCTCTTTTGAATTTATTAAATGTCTAAAATCCCAGTAATTCTGATCATATGGACAATATTTAAATTCTCTTACGTAGTGGCTACTAGTTACAGTCGCTCTTTTTCGTAGAGGTTTGTTGGACTTAATTACAGGAATGGGAATAATTTTGTTGGCATTAAGCATAACACTAGGTATGGTGTTTCCTTTTGTAAAATCACTGAAAAAAATATTCTTATGCAAGATTTTGTTTTTGTTTTTTTTTTTTTTTGTTTTTTGTTTTTTTTTGTTTTTTTGTTCTTTTTTTTCTATCTTATTTATTTAAAACCTTTTACAGTAGATGAATAAATGAGAATTTATTATTATTGCTATATTAATGTAGCAATGATAATTTTGACAGTGTCACTGCAAGATTAATTCAACTGAAATAACTCAAACCTATATATTATAGTTTATCTGTTCTTTATAGAAATTTTATTTTATTGCTTGAAATGAGAATCCTCCTCTTCAATCAAGACTTTTGAAGAAATGGAATAGTCAAGAAGGTTATTAACTAATGAGTTCCCAGAAGTACATTTATATTATTGCTGTTGTATCCCATCAACATTGAATAATTTACAGTTTTTGCACAAGATCCTTGCCTACACCACGGAACTCTCCTTGAGCCACACAGGAGCAGCCAGTTCCAACCGGAGCCAACGGATCATCTTCAATGTGATAACGGATTACAGGCCGGATGGTATACGTTTGATAACAATGATGAGATGCCCACTTCTTGTGTGACTCAGTACCACTGCGGGACCCATTTCCCTCTGTGGATGCAGGGTTCCCATCCCTCCCAGGCTGACGGTATTGTCCACAGGAAGGCCTGCTCCAATATCTATGGTAGTTCTAGTCAAAGCTGTTGTGATTTCTCTCTAGACATCCAGGTGAAGAATTGTGGCAGTTTTTACGTCTACTACCTCCAGACTGTTCCAGCATGCGCCATGGCTTATTGTGCAGGTGAGATGGTTTCATTAAGTAGCCCAGAATAACTCTTCTTTGTTGATTCCTTTTAATATCAACCATTGAAACTCTACAGTGTAGTTTAATCTCCTTTTCATCCCATCGTCATTTTCTTCCAGGCAACAAGAAAGTTTGCAACGTTGGAGGTCTACCATCCGTAGGCGGCAGCTGTCCCGGTAGGGTGTTACTGAAAGAAGAACCAGATTCTCCAGATATTCATTGATGTTCTTCATAAAATTACCTTATTCTTTCTCTCTTTAAAAAAGATCTTTATCCCAAAATGACCAGTTTGCCAGTCCTGAAAAATCCTGAGGTAACTCCTACAAAGGAAGTTCGTTTTCCCTGTAGGATCAACTACCCAGTAGGTCAACCTGATGTTGGATTCAAAGTGACTTGGACGGTAGATGGTAAAGCGCTCAAAAAGAACGCAACACATCCATTGGAGATGATTTTGACTGGGGATTCTAGAACTGCTTACCTTGACGCGATGAAACTCCAGGGACATCTTGGAAAAGAGGTATTCTGTGACGCCGACAGGTAAAATTTATCTTTTAAAGAAAACCATAAGAAATGCAAAAATCGTGGTTTTATGGTTACCTCCTAACTGGGGATTTAAGATCCCTTGTCTGCCTGTCTATTGCTTACGCTTTATATGCATTTAGAGTAGTGTTTTTAAAAAGGAGTTTATTATAAAAATGTTATCTTAAACTTGACCTTTGCCATACTTTTAAATAAAAATGGTTCTTAGCATGACTAATTTGCAAATGACATTAAAAATTATTGCCGATATTTTTTCTAATTCCTGATATATGATAGATTTCATGTTTAATAGTGATTCGATCATTAGTCAGCAGATGTTGTAAGGGAGTAACAGAACACTTATTCTGTGACTATTTTTTTTAACTGTTAAAAGAATACTGTCAACATACTAGTATTTTAACAGAAAGAATAAGGGATCTAATATCCATATAGTTTGTTATTTCTGTTAATCCTCACTCTGTGGCCTTCACCTTGGTCTTGACCCGTCTTTAAATTTTAGATAAAATCATGTCCGAGTCCAACATTTTTTTTTCAAATCTAGATGCAAGTTATGAGCATGTTTTATTTACCACTCTTCTGCATAGCTTTTGTCGTGTCCTATAAATGTTGGTGTTGCAGACAAAGTATGTTTTATCTTATAACACTACAGTTTTTGTCCTATTCAAGCACAGAAATTAGAAAAAGCCCAAAAAAAAATCTCCAGATGAATGATCTGTAGCTCATTTTATTCTAAATATTTCCGATGAAAACATCTTTAGATAACTATGTAGCTCTTCAAGTCGTATTCTAAATGTGAATTGCAGATGACATATAATTCCTTTCCTTGCAATAGTTCTTCATCCTTAAAATGCGATAACAGGACACATAATTTCTTTACTTGCAATGCTCTTTTTTTGGCTACAGCTGAAGTGTGTGGTATCCTCTTTCCACCCGTCACGTGGTCCGAGTATCAGTAGTGACTCGCTCAGTAGTAACGGTTACTGGTGTGGAATTAGGGTAAGCAATACCAAATCTAACGTATGTAACTTTAAACTGATAAATTCTTCTTTAAAAAACTCCTTAAAATCCTGCCATACTTCGTCTCTTGTTTGGCAGATGAATCCGGACAGAATCAATGTGGATGAAGGGGGCCCGGAGAAGACAGTGAAGGTAGAGTCCACCATACCAATACCCTGTAAGAGCTTGTTTCCTGATGACTGTAAACTGACTGTAAATCTAAAGGGGTTGCGTAATCCAGCAGGTAAACATTATTTGTGGAATGTTTCTGAAATTTTCATTTATTTATAATATATACGTGTATTCTAATCAATATGTATATCATAGATAAGATATATGAATATATTTATGTAAATGCATATTTTAAATGTGTAAAACCTTCGACATCCATTACTCCACGCTATGAAATGAAATGGATCTTAAATGCACTAATATGTCTTCAGACGCTTCACTCTCGGGATGTCATCTTGACCTTAAGCTTGACAATGTCACAGGGCTGTATTCCACTTTTTTCAAAGTCAAAGCCACCAGAGATTTCATCAAAGACCACAACCATATCCACGAAGTGGGATTTAAACCCATTTTGGACTTCACGCACCCTATGTGGAAAAATTACACAGCTACCCCTATTACAGTACGTGTGTATAGGAATGTCGCAAACTCAGTTCGGAAGAATACACTCCAGAACATTTCTGAGAATAAAAAGAGACGAAATAACATTTAAGTTATATTAAGAGTACGAGTTTCCTACTGTATCGGAGATACAGGGCGGGGCTTAAGGCGAGAGCGATAGCTCGAGCCGGGCCCCGCCCTGTATCTCCGATACAGTAGGAAACGAGTATTCTAAATGACTTGTGACATGACCTTTCTTATGACCTCGCTAATTTACATGGGTATATATCTCTCAACCAATCAGATGATTTTGCAGAAAGTTGATTTAGTACCCCATTTTTAGCAATCACAACTGAAATGCCGAGTGAGGTGGACGTGCATCAAATTATGAGATGCATTATATAATGTGTTTTCCCAAAATTTAATTTTTATTTGATTGCTTAGGGTTTTTTCCTTTCTTTTAGCTCTTGCTGATTTTTTTTTAAATCTAAGCTACGAATTTAGTGCAAAACATTTTGATACATAAGAATCATATATGGGAATGTATTTGAAGCAAAAATGTTTCGGGGAGGTCGTATTCTGAGAGAAATGTAAGACAATGTCATCGACCGGTCGTCATACATGTGTGTACAAAATTATTGGCTCCAAATTGAAATAAACAGATGTTAGAAAGGGGGCATATTACCTTCATATTTGAAACAAAATGTAGAGGAACCAAGGCAGATCCAGCACTCACTCGCACGCGTCGGTACCCCCCCCCCTTTTCGAATTTTTTTTTTGGGGGGGGGGAGCTTTCGTAAATTATGTTTGCTAAACTTGTATACACTTTTAATTTATCAACACGAAACGGTCACGCACATATAGTGTCAGGCCTGATTATGAATCTAACCCCCCCCCCCCACGAAACTCCCAATTTTCCAGTTTGGACATTTTTTTTCCGAAGAAAACCATTTGTGTACTGCCCCCACTCCCTCCTTTCTAAAATTTTTGAATCCGCCACTTGTAACTTTACTTTGTAAAATTCTGTTCTTAATTCATCTCAAATTTTGAATAAATACTAACAGCGCTATCATGCGATTTGATTGATTCTTATGTCTACATCATTTAAGATACGGATTCAGTTTTCCGTCATCGCTAAAAATAAACCGTACTGTATCGTTGATATTTTTCAGATACAGTACAGTTTCTGCTCATTTGCATAAGAAACGCCCGCTAAAAGTGTTCTGTATCGCAGTTATTGTACGGCTGACTTCAAAGGAAAACTCGCCGGGTCATGTCACAAAACAACTACATAAAAATCCAGTATATCAATCTACAAAGCATTTTTGTGACATGACCCTGCGAGTTTTCCTTTGAAGTCAGCCGTACAATAACTGCGATACAGAACACTTTTAGTGGGCGTTTCTTATGCAAATGAGCAGAAACTATACTGTATCTGAAAAATATCAACGATACAATACGGTTTATTTTTAGCGATGACGGAAAACTGAATCCGTATTTTAAATGATATAGACATAAGAATCAATCAAATCGCATGATAGCGCTATTAGTATTTATTCAAAATTTGAGATAAATTTAGAATAGAATTTTACAAAGTAAAGTTACCAATGGCGGATCAAAAATTTTAGACAGGAGAGAGTGGGGGCAGTACACAAATGGTTTTCTTCGAAAAAATAAATGTCCAAACTGGAAAATCGGGAGTTTCGTTGGGGGTAGATTCATAATTAGGCATGACACTATATGTGCGTGATCGTTTCGTGTTGATGAATTAAAAGTGTATACAAGTTTAGCAAACGTAATTTACGAAAGCCAAAAAAGAAAAAAAATCGAAAAGGGGGGGGGGGAGATACCGACGCGCGCGAGTGAGTGCTGGATCTTTCTTTGGTTCCTCTACATTTTGTTTCAAATATGAAGGTAATATGCCCCCTTTCTTACATCTGTTTATTTCAATTTGGAGCCAAGAATTTTGTATACACATGTATGACAACCGGTCGATGACATTGTCGGACATTTCTCCCAGAATACGACCTCCCTGAAAGATTTTCCCATATATGCTTCTTATGTATCAAAATGCTTTGCACTAAATTCGTAGCTTAGATTTAAAAAAGTCAGCAAGAGCTAAATAGAAAGGAAGAAAACTTAAGCAATCAAATATAAATTAAATTTTGGGGAAACACATTATATAATGCATCTCATAATTATTTGAATTTATAGATACCTGCACGTCCACCTTACTCGGCATTTCAGTTGCGATTGCTAAAAATGGGGTACTAAATCAACTTTCTGCAAAATCATCTGATTGGTTGAGAGATAAATACACATGTAAATTAGCGAGGTCATAAGAAAGGTCATGTCACAAATCGTTTAGAATACTCGTTTCCTACTGTATCGGAGATACAAGGCGCTCCGATACAGGGCGGGGCCCGGTTCGAGCTATCGCTCTCGCCTTAAGCCCCGCCCTGTATATCCGATACAGTAGAAAACTCGTACTCTAAATATAACTTAAAAGACTTTTAAACAATTTTTTTTCATGGAAGAATGTCCATATATAATGCTGTTTTTTCTTGTAATTTGGAAGCTATGATGACTATTTTCAGATTGGTACAACGGATAAAGACCACGGACATTGTCTTCCTTGGGGAGATCCCCATTTTTCTGGATTTGATTATAAAAAGTGAGTTATTGTACCCCCTATTGTGCCCCCTGTTTGATGAGTGATATATTGTTGATTTAAAAAACGTGTTTTAATTCGTGTGTTAAGTTATTTTGGAGGAGGCAAGTTCTTGTTATCTGAGGGCAAAATATTGATTTGTGTGGATTCGGTTTTGTTATTGAAGTCAAACAGGAGACTGTAATTTAAAATTTTAACATTTCGTGGAGGAAGTACATGAATGCGTGGGCCTCTCTTCATACCACGAGAACAACGAAAATTACACCCCCACGAACAGTCGTGATTTCACAATATACGTGTGTTATGGCCCCTATAGTTTTATATACATGTACATAGTAAATTTTGAGATAATGATTGCAGTATCACCTACATAGTTTCTCTTTTTGCCAGAATGTATTGAGGTTTTACTTACAGAAATGTATATGTTTAAATAGAATGATATAGATTTTTTAATTAATATTTTTAACGATGTTAACATTGAATAGTGCGACTAGTGTAACATGTTTGAAACAATTTCAGGAATTATAATGTTTATGAAGTGGGAGATTTCGTTCTGTACAAATTTCAGAACCAAAAAAGACCATTTGAGGTAATTCAGTGATGATTTCTAAGTGCCTATAGCTCTTTTTTGATTACTTAAAATCTCTTCCTTCAATTTTTACCCACTTTGAATTTAACATAAATATAAACAGGTTCAGTTGCGAACTTGGCCATGTGGAAGCTACCATCCTTGTATCTGTGCAATCACTGCGCGCGAGGGAAACGACATTGTGGAGGTGGATATGTGTGAGAAGAGAGCTGGCGTTGTTGAAGCCCCGTCAGTGTCTTATCCCTCCGGACACCCTCTGGAGGGAACCACTGTTAGCAGGGATAAAACTGGAAAAAAGTTCTATGTAAGCAATTAAATTTTTGCCCACTTTAATCGCGCAATATTTGCATTGTAGTTTGTTGCAATAGTTTTTATAATCCTATCCAGAACCATGTATTTAGATTAATTTCCCGTCGGGAGCGAGACTTGAGGTGAAGACCTATATTTCGGGTGGGCGTACCCATAAGGAGCGCCTCCCTGTTATGAATGTAGATATTCAGGCACCCCCAGATGACTTTGGAGGGAGTGAAGGGCTTTGTGGAAACTGGAATGGTTTACCTGGAGACGCTTTCAGAGGAGGGGATGGACGAACATATACCCTCAACAAAATTGCAGATTTTGCAAGGAGCTGGGCGTAAATTTTTGTTTATATCGTATACCTTCATGTTATCATTCTCATTGATATTCGTCCATAAAGCACATTAACACTCAAAATAGGACATATGTAAAATAGACAAAGATATTTACTTAATGTGAAATATGCTCGTAATTTTGTGTTTTCTAGTCTTCCGACTGGCAGTAGCATGTTTTACCAGATTCCTAAATACGAACAGCATTTAGCACCTAAATTTGAATATTGTTCCTGTAAACAAGGCGCAGTGGACTGCACCAAAGTTGGCAATGGCGCCATTAATCCCAGCAAGGTAAGGAGTGTCAATTTTCATGAAAAAATATACAGGAGAAATAAAAGATATACACATGATAAAAAGTAATGCAACAACAACCTTTTTCTTTTAGCTAAAGTATAATGATAAAAGTTCTCATGTTTGATTTAATTTTTGATAACATCATCTGGTCTCTAAAACCTAAAAACACTGATCAGTAAATTATTCAGTGTCATTTTATTCCGAAGATAAGAAGACGTGAGAATTTTGAGAAAAGTATACAATGAATAATTATGTCTCTATCAATTAATTTAAAAGTTTATTATGAATGAAGTACAGTTAAATAAGAATAACATGTTATAATCTTTACATTGAACAATGTTTATCGGTATCTTATTTTAACTTCTGTTCATACAACTTGTGGACATTAAGCATCTTCTCTGATCAAATGTTGAATTTGATATTGTGGTAAAGCTTGCTATTCCTGATGTATTGATGACTCAGTTCATCTAGATCTATTGAATAAATTGGTTGTTTTATTTGACAACTTAATGAGCATGACGTCCCAAAATGTGCTCAATAGGGTTTAAATGTGAACTTCGAGCAGACCATCGTAGTGTCACAACTGACTCTAAATGCAACAAGTCTGTAGAGCAGGAGCACAATGTGGTCTAGCATCGTCATCCATGAACACTACACTTTGTCCAAAAGAATGATTGCCGAAATGAGGCAGAATATTTGCAGAAAGAATTCTGTGTTCTCTATACTACTTGTAACTGTGATCAGATTCAGCTATAACAGACATAGAAAATACAATCCCAAACCATAACTAATTCACCACCAAACAGAATCGATTCAGCAGTTCCTTACTTATTGATTGTAGGCTAAAGATGGGTCAGTCATAAGTGGCAAGAATAAACATCCTCGTCGGTCAGTACGCTCCTACACCGACCATTACCCTGATAGAGACATCGTCATGGATCCCAGGATGGTCGCAAGTAAGCGTATCACTGTCCATAGGCACTGTCCATAGGTTTGAATGTGTATCACTGTCCATAGGTTTGAATGTGTATCACTGTCCATAGGTTTTAATGACGTCATTCCTTTGTTCTAGTTGTTTAAAATGCAACAGTCCAATATAAGACTTATGAGCTTTAATGATGAACTAAAGTTATTGCACTAAGATCTAAATAGTCCACAACTAACACATTGATCGGCAATGTGAATGTGTCATATTTCTAAGAAGATAAATAATTAGAATGATTTAATGTATCATGGAATAATCACTTTATGACTACTGTACATAGTCTTTAATTATACAAATAAAATGAAAACGAAATTTTCGCAAGCACACGGTCTCGCATTATAAAAATAAAGTTCCTACGAATAAAACGTGATTTACAGTATTTCAAGTATTTTACATTGCAATTGGTGGGCTTAAACATGTGTTTCTCATGACCTAAAATAAAAGCTACATTTTCTCGCTGAATAGTTTTTCTGTGTAAATTGCTACTGTAGATATTTTTTCTGATTTCTTATAGGACCGTTGTATTAATAAATAATTATGGTATAAGGGCTCAGTGATGAAAAGCTTTCCATTTGAAATATTGAACTTCTCTACTTTACGTTGACACAAGTATCAACAGTATTTATAAGAACATATATGCCTCAAATCATCCCGCATGATGAAAGTCGTGATATATTGTGACTCTAATGACTATGAAAAAGATAACGAACTTTGACTAATCTAACGAATCCTGTAAACAATACTAAACGTGAACAGGGCAAAAAAAATCGGACCTCTGGAAACATAAGAGGTGGATTCAGGTGCCCGGGAGGAGTAAGTATATCGACTGGACAAACCTGCCGTGAGCCCCCTGAATTGATCTGGTAGACGGGGTAATCATCAGTCAAAATTAACATAAAAACAATGGCCTAATACTTACGAAACATATCTGCAGAAATTCTACACTGTGATAGTTTGTTTTTGCAAACAAGGTCCTTAAAACTTCAAAACACTTGCTGTGGCCTTCAACTCGACATTTAGATATATCGACGACTTATTGTCAATTAACAATGGTTATTTCCATTCTTATGTCGATACGATATATCCCGGTGAGCTTAAAATAAAAGATACCACGGAGTCTGAGACAACTGAGACAACATATCTGGATATTTTACTTGAAAAAGACGTTAATGGTAATCTAACAATTAAGCTTTATGATAACTTATGATAGCTTTATGTGACTTTAACTTTTCAATCGTCAACTACCCTTACTTATGTAGCAATATAACTTCATCACCTGCATACGGGGTTTATATCTCTCAGTTGATTCGATACGCAAGAGCATGCTCTAAGTAGGAACAATTTCTAAAGCGAGGTAAGTTATTGACATGGCGGGTGTGACCGGTCGGCAGGGGATGTTCACTCCTCTATGGCACCTGATCCCACCTCTGATGTTCTAGAGGTCCGTGTTTGCTCTGCTCCAAAATTTGTATTGTTTAATAGACTTTTGAGCTTGAATAATGTTCGTTATCTCCATATATTCCATAGAATGTTAGCGAAATGCTGACTTTGAACGAGATTATTAAAAGCCCTGTAACATCAATTTATTTGTCAGTAGATTGCCTTGATTTAAAAATTGATCGTTCTCAGAGCATGCTTTTGCGTACAAAATTAGTTGGGAGACATAAACATCACTTGCAGGTGATAAAAGTATATTATTTAATATTAAAAGTTGACTATGGAAAAGCAGAATTCGTCCCTTGGTCATAAAGTTAAGTTGTTTGATTGACATCTATAGTCAGTGAAACATCCAAATTTAAAAAAAAAAGATGTGGCAGGCTCTGGGGTATCTTTTATTTCGAGTTCATTGGGATAAATCAGTCATCATTGAAATGAAAGTAATTATCGTTAATTGATAAAAGGTTGTCGATACATCTAAATATCTAATTGGAGGCCACAGCAAGAGTTTTTCTAAATTCTGCTTCATAAGAATATAATAACAGGCCAGATATCTAATAACCTTCTTAAATGTAAAATGGCATTCTTTGATACCCAAGAAATATTTCACATTGATCAGTTATGATATCAGTTAGAGAACAAGGAAATCCATTCGAATTACAGGAAGGCTGAAGAGAAACGCGGATGCTTCGTTTCCAACACCGAGTGGGATCACAGAGAGTCAGGCCCAGGATTCCTGTAAACACTCTATTATGACGTCATCTCTGTATAACCAATGTCATCACACAGGTATCCTAAATGACATCATGGGCGGATGTGTTGAGGATATAAAGGTGAAAATACTATCACATGACTATCTCTGTGACTAAAAGGACATCAATCGCATTTGTAGCACATCTATTTCACTGCTATATATACGTTCTGAACAAGAAATATTTACATTTGCAACAAATGTTCGACGTAATTTCTCAGTGACGTCATAAGGGGTTGACGCGCATTCAATGGATCAAACTTGTGCCGTTGAGTTTTGAAAAATAAAACATGTCATGCGTTAAAGATTGTCCTAAGGCAAATATATATTATAAAGAAATCACAAATGTAAATATAAGTAATTAGATATCATTTTTAAACATCTATCGGAATATAAATACGGGTTGGTACTTGATCAAATTTTCCATAAAGCCCTTCGAGCTTTATGGAATTTGATCACGCGACCAACCCGTATTTATATCCCGATAGATGTTTCAAAAATGATACCTTATTTCATAAAGAACAGTGTCTTTGATAATAAGAGTAAAGCTAAATGTATATAATTTAATTCAGTTGATAATTGTGCATTTTACAGTATTCTGATTCAGCAGAAGTATTTAGGCTGGCTTCTATGAACGCCTTTGACAGTGCCTGTCACAATGAGCTTGCCAAAGATCCCAGCAACATTCAATACATCAACGGTGACCCGGTGTTAAAATCATCAGTATTTGGTTGTCCAAATCAGTGTTCATTAAATGGAGACTGCATCAGTGGCAGGTGTCATTGTAACCATGGATACATATCAGATGACTGTTCTATTCAAGTGGGAATTCCCCCACAAATCCATCGCATCAGAGGGTTTGTTACTATTAAAACAAGAACACTTACCGTAATTCTCAACATGTCCGTTAACTTTTATCAACATTCTATGTTTTTATGGTGACCATCTTCTTCTTTTAGAGATGGGAATTGTGACATCAGAAGCAGACCCTGTAGACAAGCTAACGTCATTGTTGACAACATCATGGATTCAGCAAACCTTTCATGCAGGGTTACTCCTGTCGATGTAAGTGAATCAAGTAAACCTTGTAATTGTTAGGAAAAGTAAAACCAGCTTATTCTCTTTCTTCTCATGGAATACATTTTCCAGTACGTGATATTGTGATTAAGTTGTAACAGACTGTTTGCTTCTAATAAACAAGTATACATTGCTTGCTGTAGCTATCTAAGGGTAGACCAGTAGACTCCGGTCCAGCGGTGACTTACAGAGGAGAATTCCTCAGCTTTTTAGAGGTTCAGTGTCCGATTCCTGAAAGCAACGTCATGAAAGGTATTGCTCTGTAACGTTCAAACACCGATGGTGAATAGTTTGTGAATAATTTCATCTGTGGGTAATCTCTGTAACGTTCAAACACCGATGGTGAATAGTTTATGAAGAATTTCATCTGTGGGTAATCTCTGTAACGTTCAAACACCGATGGTGAATAGTTTATGAAGAATTTCGATCATCTGTGGGTAATCTCTGTAACGTTCAAACACCGATGTTGAGTAGTTTATGAAGAATTTCGATCATCTGTGGGTAATCTCTGTAACGTTCAAACACCGATGTTGAGTAGTTTATGAAGAATTTCGATCATCTGTGGGTAATCTCTGTAACGTTCAAACACCGATGTTGAGTAGTTTATGAAGAATTTCGATCATCTGTGGGTAATCTCTGTAACGTTCAAACACCGATGTTGAGTAGTTTATGAAGAATTTCGATCATCTGTGGGTAATCTCTGTAACGTTCAAACACCGATGTTGAGTAGTTTATGAAGAATTTCGATCATCTGTGGGTAATCTCTGTAACGTTCAAACATCGATGTTGAGTAGTTTATGAAGAATTTCGATCATCTGTGGGTAATCTCTGTAACGTTCAAACACCGATGTTGAGTAGTTTATGAATAATTTCATCTGTGGGTAATCTCTGTAACGTTCAAACACCGATGTTGAGTAGTTTATGAGTAATTTCATCTGTGGGTAATCTCTGTAACGTTCAAACACCGATGTTGAGTAGTTTATGAAGAATTTCATCTGTGGGTAATCTCTGTAACGTTCAAACATCGATGTTGAGTAGTTTATGAAGAATTTCATCTGTGGGTAATCTCTGTAACGTTCAAACACCGATGTTGAGTAGTTTATGAGTAATTTCATCTGAGGGTAATCTCTGTAACGTTCAAACACCGATGTTGAGTAGTTTATGAATAATTTCATCTGTGGGTAATCTCTGTAACGTTCAAACACCGATGGTGAGTAGTTTATGAATAATTTCATCTGTGGGTAATCTCTGTAACGTTCAAACACCGATGGTGAATAGTTTATGAAGAATTTCATCTGTGGGTAATCTCTGTAACGTTCAAACACCGATGTTGAGTAGTTTATGAAGAATTTCATCTGTGGGTAATCTCTGTAACGTTCAAACACCGATGTTGAGTAGTTTATGAAGAATTTCATCTGTGGGTAATCTCTGTAACGTTCAAACACCGATGTTGAGTAGTTTATGAAGAATTTCATCTGTGGGTAATCTCTGTAACGTTCAAACACCGATGTTGAGTAGTTTATGAAGAATTTCATCTGTGGGTAATCTCTGTAACGTTCAAACACCGATGTTGAGTAGTTTATGAATAACTTCATCTGTGGGTAATCTCTGTAACGTTCAAACACCGATGTTGAGTAGTTTATGAATAATTTCATCTGTGGGTAATCTCTGTAACGTTCAAACACCGATGTTGAGTAGTTTATGAATAATTTCATCTATGGGTAATCTCTGTAACGTTCAAACACCGATGTTGAGTAGTTTATGAATAATTTCATCTGTGGGTAATCTCTGTAACGTTCAAACACCGATGTTGAGTAGTTTATGAATAATTTCATCTATGGGTAATCTCTGTAACGTTCAAACACCGATGTTGAGTAGTTTATGAATAATTTCATCTGTGGGTAATCTCTGTAACGTTCAAACACCGATGTTGAGTAGTTTATGAATAATTTCATCTATGGGTAATCTCTGTAACGTTCAAACACCGATGTTGAGTAGTTTATGAATAATTTCATCTGTGGGTAATCTCTGTAACGTTCAAACACCGATGTTGAGTAGTTTATGAATAATTTCATCTGTGGGTAATCTCTGGATTTTCTTTTCAGGTCTCAGTGTTAAGGGATTTAAGATTTCTGTGACGTCAGATGGTCATCATTACAGCCATGACGCTCTGTTTATTGTGGCTGATGGTTACTGTATGAAATGTACATCAGCAGGTGCCTGTACACACAATGTAAGTAACTATAAAATCAAAATTGTACGTTATGCAACACAGGAGTCTTTACGCCAAGTTTTAGTTGCCTTGGTATCAACAACAAAAGAGGTAATACATGAATGCGTATATAGAATTAAAAATAGTAACACACTTAAAAAGCTCAAAGGCAAGTTACTAGGGGGGAATCCTGTCTCTGCTCTATGTACTGAACTGATGTTACTGAAAAAAAAAACAGAATGTGAATAGTCTTACAACATAAGGGGTATATACACCATATTTACATTATTATTGAAAAAATACAGAGGTGTCTTAACAAACATTGTAACTAGACAAGCAATACAGCGGTATGAGTATATAATGTGAAAGGTCAAGCAGCACAGATATCTTTATAAAGAATGTAAAATGTCAAGCAACCCAGGTGTCTAAGCACAAAATGTAAAAGGTCAAGCAACACAGGTGTCTGTGCAGGGATTGTTAAATCTCAAGCAGCAGAGGTGTTTTTGCATGAAATGCAAAATGTCAAGCAGGAAATCTGTCAGTGCACAGAATGTAAAACGTCAAGCAACACAAGTGTCTGCATGTCATATAGAATGTAAAATGTCAAGCATCACAAGTTTTGTACACCGAGTGTAGAGCATATAATATAGGTTTCTGGACACAGAATTTTTTTTTCATTAATCTAGGTGTCTGTACACAGACACCAAGCAATGCAAACTAATATAATGTGAGTAGTCAAACAACATAAGGGTCTTTACACAAAATGCAACTATTCAGGTAAATTCTGAACTCTGAACGAAAAAGGTAAAAATAACGAACAATGTCTATCTCATACATCCTGTAAACAAAATCCTGTAAACATGGCGAAAGCACAGATCTCTGGAAATATCAGAGGTGGGATCATGTGCCAAAGAGGAGTAAGTAGCCCTGTAGACCGGGGTCACACCTACCATAAGCCCTCTGTAGTGATCAGATAAACGAAGTAAGCCGTAGTCAAAATTGGTACTTTAAAAATGGCTTAACAATTTGTATGGAACATATCAGTCAAAATACAACACAACAATAGGCTGTGTTTGCAAAAAAGGTCATCATAACGACCATAGAATTTGCGAAAAGCTTATTTCACATGACATTGAAAGTCCTGTAACATCAACCTTTTGGAAGAGTCTCCGTTGGTTTAAAAATTGATCACACATACACTATACTCTTGCATACTGAATCATCTGGGAGACATCAACGCCATATACATGTGATAGTTAAATATTACCAAAGAAATAGGGGAAACTGACAATAGAAAAGCTAATCACCCCATTTGTCATATAGTTTTGTTGCTAGATGGCCATTAACATTTTAGTCAGTTTGACATATGAAAAAGAAGTGGCAGACTCTTTGGTGTATTTCATTTCAAGTTCACTGGGATGTATTAATTAGACATATGAATTAATTATATATTGTTAATTGTTAAAACGTCGATATATCTAAACATGGAATTAAAGGTCACAACAAGAGTTCTTCTTCTTCTTACGTAGAAGTTTCTGATATATATATATATATATATATATATATATATATATATATATATATATATATATATATATACTTTTTCAGAATAATATTAAAGCAGATCAGCTAATAAAGGACATTTAGTACCCAACAGATTGTTGGAAGATCTTTTCTGTAAAGATTACATAGATATTGTCAGTGAGGAACACCTTTATAGATTACATAGATTTTGTCAGTGAGGAACTCCTTTATAGATTATATTGAAATTGTCAGTGAGGAACTCCTTTATAGATTACATAGATATTGTCAGTGAGGAACTCCTTTATAGATTACATAGATATTGTCAGTGAGGAACTCCTTTATAGATTACATAGATATTGTCAGTGAGGAACTCCTTTATAGATTACATTGATATTGTCAGCGAGGAATTCCTTTATAGATTACATTGATCTTGTCAGTGAGGAACTCCTTTCTAGATTACATTGATATTGTCAGTGAGGAACTCCTGTATCTTTGTTTTATCCACTTTAGAGTACGGAGAGTGAGGAAACAGAATTCTTTTGAACAAAGTTATTCTGTAGATGACTAATCACATGATATGAACATTTCAGAGTCACATTTTTATTGAGAAGCATTTGTCTATGATGTCAAATAGCCTGGTCTTAAACTTAACGTGAAGAATGTTGTATAAAGTGTTGAAATATCATAACTTTTGATATTGTGAAAATTTTTGAGATTTCAAATTGGAGTTTATGAGAATCCACATTTGATTGACTAAACGTCTTGAATATTTTTGTGGGGCTTGAAAATTTGGGCTTCGTTGAATATTTACAGGGTAGACACAGTAAATCAAATTCATGCACTTCCGTTCACTAGAATGGTAAAAGTTTTTTGAAACTGAAAGGGCAATTTAAAAAATTCTAATTTTTTGAAAAGAAACTGTGAGTAAAAGTTGGAAAATCAGATATGGAATTAAGTCCAAAGTTCTTCTTAAATGCAGTTGAGCAAAACGATATTATTACAAGCTGAATCCATAAAATATTGATAATGTTTTCATTATAATTCTTTTATTACATTTTTTACCAAAAACGGAAGGATAGATGGGTTGCATTTTGCGCTTAAATTTGTGAAATGCGATTCTTTAATATACTTTTAAGGCTTTTTATCGATTTTGAAAGAGTGTCAAGGTCTTCGTCTTCATACTTTGACAATCGTTTGGCATACACCTTGACGGAATTCATAACAGAACTGAAATTCTTTCGCCATTTGAAAGACCGGGACTTTCAAAATTGTGGACCTTTGGAATTTTTTTTCGCTATTTTCAACTATTTCAGTGTAACTTAAGTCTCAGTTGGGGTGTATGAGTACTATTGAAGTGCGTTAGTAAGGGTATATATATATATATATATATATATATATATATATATATATATATATATATATATATATATATATATATATATATATATATATATAGAAAGCACATATAAATTCACTTTTATAAGGATACCCACTTCCGCCTCAGCCCAGGGTTGAACTCTCGACCTACGGAATCTGTCTCCTAGCAGTACAGGAACAGCGCGCTAGACCGCTCGGCTATCTAGGCAAGTAAAACAACTTGCTTTCGATGCCGATGGAATTCTCGCGGTGCTACCCTACACTACACGGTCATTGAGAATGGAAGTGAGATACAGTTATTTGGACATTAGTTTTATTAGAGGATCGTTACCAATACACGTTGTAATGAAATTAATTTTCTATTTATTAAGCACATTTTACAACATATATATATATATATATTATATATATATATATATATATATATATATATATATATATATATATATATATATATAAAAGATATTAACAGATATTAAGATATTATCAGTAGTGAAGGAGAAACTTCAAGAGTACTGTACAACAATATTGAAATCTATTGAAATCCGTGTTTGCTCTGCTCCAAAATTTGTATTGTTTAATGAACTTTTGAGCTTTGAGCTCGAATACTGTTCGTTATCTCCAATATTTCATATACTACTAGGAAAATTTTCCTTTCCCACTTATATACTAATGTTTTCTCTTAAACACAGCCAAACAGCTGTTTTATTGATGGTATGTGCCAACGTAGTGGAGACCAAAACAGCAAAGGGGAAGTCTGCGATCCCTCTATCTCTACTAACGACTGGACACCGAGCAAAACCGTACAAGGTCAGCTTAAAATAGTACAGATAATCTTTATTTTAAACTTCAGTTAAAAGATGACCTCTTTTTAGCTAACCGTAGCCAAAGGCTTGATTTATCTGTTCGGCGTCTGACTGTTTGTGATTTTTATATCCTTCGCTAGTACTATTTAGCCGACTCTTTCGATCGAAACTTTCCACAAAATACATGTCATGTATACTTGTTTAGAGGTATTAAGTTTGTTCAAATGAAGAGCAACGCCAATTTTTATTGGAAGATAATTAAAATTTGTAAATTATGTTTGAGTCATTAGAAATAATTTTTTTCCGAAGAACCACTGAACCAGAGAGGGGGCAATGATATAGGGTCAAAGTTTTATAAAGCAATATAAAGAAAGAAAATTAAAAGAAATTTTTATCAAGGATAACAGTGCTACAGTCATTCATAATGACATTCAATCACAGTGCAATGTAAATTATCAGCTTTGTTCAAATCATGAACCCTGGGCCCATGGTGACTAGTAGATACGAGGTTTGATATAGGAATATGGTGCAAAATCTTCATCTCGAACAGAAATTTATCATGATATATAAATATCACTACTTAATGAAGTCTCAAGTTTGTTCAAACTGGTGGCATAAAGGGGGTCTAAGTTTGACATGGGAATATTTAAAAAAAAATCATTTGTAGATCAACAGGACCACAGTTAGTTTAATTGATATGCCAGCAACCCATGAAGAGTTAATCAAAATTGTTCAAATCGTGGCCCCCACGCTTTGGTGGTACCACAAAAATGAGTTAAAGTTTGAAAATGAAATATATATAAAAAGATCTTCAAAACTATTATTTAAAACATAAGGAATACAATAGTCATATCAATATACAAACATCCCGATTTGGTGAATATTAAAGTTTGTTCAAATAAAAATTCCAGGGGCTCGGGTTGGGTAACAGTGGGGGATATTATATAAAAATATGAAGGTAAAGCTTTCTGCTGATCAACAGGGCCACAGCTGAAATATTGATATACGATATACAATCCTCTGGTGAAGTCAAATAAATCACCAGCAAAGATGCAAACAAAATTCCGTTATCAAAGTTTGATTGTAAGGTCACTATCTAAACACGGAATTGTCAACGGATTTTTCCGTTTGGCCGATCATGACAGCACACGGCGGTGTGACCGGTCGACAGGGGATGCTTACTTTTCAATGGCACCTGATCCCACCTCTGATGATATTTAGAAATCCGTGTTTGCTCTGCTCCCGATTTGTATCGTTTCAATGGACTTTTGAACTTGATTTCTGTTCGTTGTCTCTATATTTCATGGGGAAAAAGGCAAAGGTCTTTTATAATTTCTTTTTAAGCAAGGCCAAGGTGACTTAGGTAAGCATTGTGGCCAATGGACACCTTGTTATATAATTTCATTCATTGAGTGTTAACAGAAGAATGTAGATGGATATTGACTTTCGCATGACTCAGTACCATGCAGCAACCTCTCTCTTATATTTAATAATAATAATAATAATACTTTATTAATAGAAGTGATTAGTGCAAGCATTAGTCTTTTGGGGGCCTTCTTCATACCACATTTACAATGTATATACAATGAACGCAGTTCACAATATGAGCCAATGAAATAATTTACTTGTACAGCAAATCATCATTGTCACAAAATGCTGATGTGCATTCTAAGTAAAGTAAATATAATTGATATTTTAGAAGTAGACCACTTCACAGCTGCCTTCACCGGATGTCGTTGTCCCTATAACATAAATCTGTTCGACTGCGCATGCTGCCAAAATGGTGGATGTCAATGTGGTGAGGTCCAGTCAAATCAGTGTACAGACTGTAACAACATGGAGCTGTGTGGAACAAATCCTGGACTCTTCCCGCCACCAACTCTTTAGTCACGTAATTCTCGGTTGTGCATGCATCAGTACTTTGTAAAATACAAACTGAATGCAGTTTTTATTGGCGTATTTATGCAAATAAAATTTCAGTACTATTCTGTTTTGGAAATCAAGAAACCCATCCTGTAGTTTTGAATACGTATTGTAAAACAAATGAAAATGAAATGCAATTACATCTTGAAATGGTACTTCATGCAAATGATTACCATTTGACATATTTTTAAAACATGTTTTCAGTATTTATAAATAAATTCATTGATCGAACACACTTCGTTTTCTTGAATTTGGATGAGCTCGATAAATTAACAGGAATTAGTATGATCGATAGGAGGCTAAGATGACCTTTGACTGCACCGGACTAGAAAAAAATTGTAGAAATGCTACGTGTCCCATAGCTTTCCAAACATGGCCACATTATTAATCCATCATTGCAATTAAACAGAGATTCTGGAAAGTAAATTACCGAACAGTGGAAGTAGAAATATACCTTTTACTGGTTAAGAACGTAATAAGTATGCAAGGGCGAATTTTCATCAAATTTTTTCGTGATAAGAGACCTGCGCCCGAGCAGATTTTAAGTATTTCTCAGAGCATTCCTCAGTTTTAGAGTAAATTTATGTCAAAGTGAAAACTATTTCCACATAGATTTCAGTCAGTGCTCCAAGGGGAAATACCCAGAAAGTGCCAAATATTAGCATAGAAGTCTATAAAAGCTTATCAGAACCAAAGTGTATACTGTGTTATATAAAGGTTTTACCTGTGAACTCGGGCCATAAGTTAACGACGTTCAGAGATGGGCATTATCCTTTTTCTTTGTAGTCTTACACTTGGTAAGTCTGATTATCTGTAGTAATAGATTAATGTGTCACTGGTGTGTGGCTTCAGATTTATTTTATCTCCTTTATTTTGTTAAGGATTGACATCTTTGATAAGAAAATATTTGCTTTCATATGATGGTTTCACTTTTTAGAAATTAGATTGTGTTGTGAAACGGACTGAAAGAAGTAGAAATATTAGGATATGAAATAGCCCTGATACTAGCTAATACTCCTACAACTGAAAATGCAGAAGTTTTGAGCCACTCTTGTTTGAATATCTATCCAAGTAGCGAGAAATAACGCCCTGTTTTCACTCACGTTTCTTTTTCTGTATGCAAGATTCCTTATATTGTTGAGAATTGATGAAATATGCCCTGAAAAGAGAAATAACATTTTGTGTTTACTTTAGGGTAAATACATAATTTCTACATAAACTTGGAAGTTACTAAAAACATACATTCTACCTAAACTTAGAGGTTACTATAGGACATAGCTTTTACCTAAGCTCGGTTTAGTGGGCTACTGAAGAACACATATCTTAGTTAAACTTGGAAGGTAACTACAAAACAAAGTTTCTACCTAAACTTTGTTAAGTAAAGTATCAGTCACATTATCAAGCGATGGGGTATACGATGGGTAACCAATGCGTTTTTTGATAAAAATGACCGGTCGGACATCCATAGTAATCGGACGGTGACTGAGGCCATCGGGCGAATCGGTGAGGTTCATCGGGAGAAAACAAGTTGTAGTTAAAAATCAGCGATGTCTCCACCGATGCCCACATCGCTCCTAATCGGCAACCCATCATTAACAAATCTTTCAAGGATCAGTGGATGTATGGCCGAGCATCGTCCAGTGTCCTTTGAATCTGAGGTCTTCTGGGGTGAGTGGTGGGCAACAGACATCGGTCGATGTTCGACCAAACATTGCCCCATAGTCGAACGATGTCCGAAAGATGTACGAACGATATTCACCAATTTATGAGCGATGTACATGCAATATACATCGACCGATTACCGCTCGAACATCGGTTTATGATTAGCGATGCTAATTTATAATATTATATTCATAATATTATAATTTATAATATATTAAATATAATATAATTTATTAATATATAAATATATAATTTAATAAATATAATATAAATATTATAAAAATAATTATACATAATATTTATTTATTATATAAAAATATTATTATTACTATCATTAATTTTATATAATATTATTACAAATGATAATTATAAATAATATTTATAATAAATATAAATATAGTATAAATATTATAATTTATAATATTGCCTTTATAAGCGCGTTATTTTTCGCATGTACATGTACAACATTCGTTCAGCAGACAACAACAATGCCAAGACCATTTTATCCTACTTGTCAGAAAGAATCGCCATCTGCCACGGGAGTTCAAGTTACTTCGGCAAACCATCACCCGGGCATCCGACAATGTCTATAAGATGGCCGGCCAATAATCGTACGATGTCCGATTCACCGTCCAGTCACCGGCCGAGCATTGTAGGATGATTGGTGAAGACTGTCCGATGTCCGGTCGGTAATCGGTGCCACGCCGGTCAAAATTGTTTCGCTCTGGAGTCACTCGTCCGATCGTCGGCAGGGGTATGTAGGATGTGACAGATGTGTTCAAGGACTACTTGGCCGATTAGGACCGATGTTGGGACCATCGCTCACACCACCGATTACCACCGGTCTACGGCCACCGGCCGGGAAATCTGACTGAGCTTTAACCAGAACATGACTCCCACCTAAACTTGTAGATAAAACAAACAAATTGAAAGAATTGTTGTTCTCTGCTTCCGGTGTGTTAATGGATGGGATGCCATTATTTATGACATATTGTAACTGTCTTGTTTGTGTGTCCTGTCTTGTATGAGCATATCATACAAAAAAAGACATAAATTATTGAATTAATAACAGTTATAACAAAGATTATAGTTTCTCAAAACTACATTAAACCTCAAGATCAAAGTCATGAGGTCAAGTATCATAATACAATCCAAAAGGCCGTGTCACAATTAATGCACATGTGAAAAAAATATCCAAAACCAGAGTAGTCAATCGGAGAGGTCTTGAAACAGGTAATGCACATTTCAAATGTAAATGCCATGTCTGTTCTCAATCAAAAGTTATCAGCAATGTTGAAATTTGTTAAAATTAGATCAAACTTAAAGGTCAAAGTCATGGAGTTAAAATCATAGTACATTTAGAAATATTTGTCACAGGTTATACACGTGACAAATATGAAGTTAGCAACACTGATAAAATGTTTGAAAATTAGGTCAATCTTGAAGGTCAAGGTCACGGGGTCAAAAATCATGGCACATTCGGAAACATTTTGACACTGGTAATGCACTTGTCAAACATATGTCATTCAAAAGTAATCACCAAAGTTAAAATTTTTGAAAATTAGGTCAAACACGAATGTCAAGATAAAAAAATCATAGCATGCTTGAAAACATCTTGTCACAGGTAATGCATAGCTTAAAGATAAAAGCTCTATCTTTTCTCAATCAAAAGTCATAAGCAAAGGTTTTTTTTTTTTAAATTAGGTCAAACTTCAAGGTCTTTAGGTTCAAAATGTTTGGAAAGGTTTTGTCATAGGTTATGTACATGTGAAATATAAAACCCTATCTCTTCTCATTTAAAAGTTATGACCAAGGTTAAAGTTTTTGTGACAGACAGACCGACAGAAGAATGAGATTTAATGTCCCCTCGCTTTCGCGAAAGCGGAGGAACAATTAGAACATGACATCTACCTTAGCTTGGTAGGTCACTATAGAACCCGACATCTACCATGGCAAATTGGACGACTTCAGCTTTGTCATCGTTAACTTCCCTTATTTATAAAGTAACATTGCACTATCACCTGCATATGGTGCCTATGTCTCCAAGCTGATTAGGTAAGCAAAAACATGCTCTAGTTACGATCAATTTTAAAAGTGAGGTATTCTACTGACAAATAAGTTGATTTTATAGTGCTTTCAATAATCTTGTTTAAGGTCAGCAATTTTCTAATCCTTAGTCGTTATAAAGACCTCTTTTGCAAATACAACCTATGGTTTGGTCGTATTTGAACTGACATATTTCATACCAATTGTTAGGACATTGATTTTGCATTAATTAACTGATTACATCGTTTACCTGATCAATACAGGGGGCTCAGGGCGGTTGTTACCGGATGACAAGGAAGCTTTTCCCTCCTAGGTACCTGATTCCACCTTTGGTGATTCCAGAAGTTCGGGGTTTTTTGCCCTGCTCACAATTTAAAATGTTTAAAGGATTCATGAAATTGATAACTGTTCTTTATATTATTTTCACCTTTTTCATACAAACGTGACTTCAACTTAAACTCGGATGGTAATTATAGAAACATGACGTCTAACTACGTTTATTAGGTAATTACAGAATATATGACATTTTTTCTTCTTTTTTTTCATTTCTTTTCTTCAGTTTTTGCTCAAGATCCTTGCTTACGTGGCAATCACGGGTTACTCCTTGAGCCACACAGGAGCAGCCAGTTCCAACCGGAGCCAACGGATCATCTTCAATGTGATAATGGATTACAGGCCGGGTGGTATACGTTTGATAACAATGATGAGATGCCCACCTCTTGTGTGACTCAGTACCACTGCGGAACCCATTTCCCTCTGTGGATGCAGGGTTCCCATCCCTCCCAGACTGACGGTATTGTCCACAGGAAGGCCTGCTCCAATATCTATGGTAGTTCTAGTCAAAGCTGTTGTGATTTCTCTCTAGACATCCAGGTGAAGAATTGTGGTAGTTTTTACGTCTACTACCTCCAGACTGTTCCAGCATGCGCCATGGCTTATTGTGCAGGTTTCCTCTCTCTCTCTCTCTCTCTCTCTCTCTCTCTCTCTCTCAGCATTTTTTTTTTATTTTAGGACATTTATATGTTGCATTTGAGAGTAACACCTTTAGTGATTTTTGTTGCACACAAATAAGAAAAGCACCGCGTATTTTGATAAGATACGGATGGAATTCAAGTCCACACAACTATGATATTAAATATCACTGACTCATATTTTTTTTTTCATAAAAGCTTTGAAAAAGGCACATAACTCTTACAAAGTGAAATGTTAAATTTCAGTTATATTTCCTGATAATGCTAATAATACATGTAACAGTATGATTACCTCGTCGATTCTAAGTTTGCCTAAAAATTTTAACACCTTTCCTGTAAATCAGATTTAAGCACAGACAGTCTCAAA